CTCCTGTAACACATAATCCATATTGATTGATTTATTATTAAAATGGTACTGCCATGGCAATATTCCCTGTGTAAACATACATATCTACATGTACCATGAAATGATCATATACCAAATGTTGACTATAGGCCTATACCTTATTTATGCATGGCAAGAAGGTTTGACTCCCTAACCTGCAATCATGCAAATTACAGTAGTTTCAAGATGACCTAGTTTGTGTTAAGTGGATGTTCGACCCCATCATCATCCACATTAATCTGCCATTGGGATGGTTGTAAAATTATAAACACTATCTAAGTTCATTAGGATCTACATGTATTGCTAATAATAACATCCATTATTATACAGACTACATGTAGGCCCTACCTGAATTAAATTACAGGTAAATGTAACAGGTAGTTAGTGGCATGTCTCTGATTGGTCATCATAATGTCAGGTCAGAATTTATTTCTTCTTGATAATGATCAGAGAATCCTAAACGAGATGTAAGCTCAGTTATAAATATAAACCGTAATTGTATTCCACAGAACTGTGTCTTACGTATTTCCTGTCGTAACAAATGAAATTAAAACAAGTTACATACATCTAATTACAATCTGATTAAAACACAGATCCTATTTTGTTTTGTTTTTTATAATTCAAAATTTCATTTTACTTGTCTTTACTACACAAGGATCTGGAAGAGTTTTTATACAATGTATAACCTGCATTCTGGATGATGTGAGGGATTAGCCAATGAAATGGTCTGTTAAGGCGAGTTTTTGGCGTGAGGTACACGGAACTGTGGGTAACCCACTAGAAACATCAGTGCTGATTGGTTAATCAAATGTCTGACATCATGGGGCCAAAAGCTGCTCATATTACCTCTCACGCAACCTTCCACTACAACCGACCTTTACGTAGTAGAGGCCATCAAAAGTATAAAAAAAATGAAACGAAATAAAGATCTGTATTTTTATCTGATTGTAATGGCAAAATTTCCGTAAAACATAACGATATGCGTATGCCCTGAGACACCTGGGTTGGCACTTTTAGCACAACCTGTTCAGACAACCAAGGTGGACCAGCTTTTTAAAAAGGCTTTTCTATAACACAGATTATACATGTATGGTTGGGTTTTTAAACTGGTTAATTTAGCTACCATATTAATTCAGTAACAACAATGGCAAATTTAATATAAATGTATGAATAGATCACCATTTACCACTATGATTCAGTTCTTTCATATGAAGTAAATAAAATTTAATGAATAAACCAGTTTTTAAAACGTCCCTGAGTTATGTATATATAATATAATAGATGGCCTATTAAAGTCTGTATTAAGGGGCTGTACATGTACTTTGCACTATGATACATGGTACAATGAACATGTACATCAAATCTGTATCCAGGAATGGGATGAAACGACCCTATATTAGGGGGATGAAATGACCCATGTAAATTTGGGATGAAACAGCCCGGATGAAACAGCTCAGGATGAAACGGTCGCATAGGCGTACGAGCTGGGGGGGCTGGGGGGGGGGCGGCCGCCCCCCCATTTTGGGCACCAAATGCTGGGAAAATTTGGGCACACAATTGTATTTTGTAAAAGTTGTATAAAAAAAGATATTGTGTTCTTGAATGTGTCCAATTTAACAGCGAATTTATTATTATTATGTAACATACTAAGAAGCTAACTACATTTTTGGGGCACCATCCACCACGGCCCCCCCCCCCCCCCCCAGTCAAAAATTTCCCCGTACGCCTATGAACGGTCGTGGGATGAAAAGACCTACTCCCTCCTGGGATTTCAACTCACTATTAAGACCACTTTATATCAGTCCAGTAACTGTACTTCAAAAACAATTCTGATGGATATACATGTACATGTGTAGTAACTAATTTTTATAATCTACATGTACAGTATTGAAAAGAAATTCACCGGGAAATATTCTGACATTTTAAATTACCTAATTGCCAAGAGATAACTTGTATGAAGTGAACTAATTCCCATGCACTTTTGTCTGCACACCATATTAAAGGTCAGATTCTTTACTGCATTGTTAGGCACTGGTTGCCGTGGTAATGGTTCGTTACTAAAAGTCTAAACAACTTGTTTTCATCATATAACATTTCTAGGAAGGTTGCCAATTAGAAGTTTAACTATAAATAAATATATCAAGTAAAAATGAATATACCTGTATTATAAATCATTTCTCAGGAAAAAAAAGTACCTGTATTATAAATCGTTTCTCAGGTAAAAATATACTTGTATAAAAATCGTTTCTCACTTAAAAACATAGCTGTATATAAATCGTTTCTCAGGTAAAAACATACCTGTATATAATTTAATATAAACTGTTCTCAGGTAAAAATATCCTGTACCTTGTGAACTTGTACCTATATATGTACATTGTATTTAAACCGTTTCTCCAGTTGATTGTTTTTTAATTTAGCGAAGTATATGATATGATGTATAAACTGAAAATTCGATAAATATACATACATACATGTACATATAAGCTATAACAAAGGTGTTATTATCTACTGTCTTCTCACATATACATGTACTTAGAGCATTGATCGCAAATTTCTGTTTTATTTTTGGGCTTTCCTAAGACCACCTCAAATTATATTTCATATTTTGTGAGAACATGAGGCTGTTGTTGTTTATATAGACTTAAGTACTTTTTTATGACTTAGTTTTATTGTCGTTGTTAAGTATGTTATATATGTTAATGGTTTATAGAGTATAAAACAGATGGGTTGTTTTCATACACACACTTATTGTAATCTAGATTTCAAGTGTCAGACATTACATTATTTTCATGCCAATCAATTGCTTTAAATGGTTATAAAAGTGACTGGAGTCGGATAGTCTGAGATTGGTACATGTACATGTACATGTGGGAGGGCATGTAACAGAACCCCAAACCAGGGCTTACACTTTAAAATCTTGCCAACCATTGAATATTGGTTGTATTTTATTTTTATCAGATTAGTAAGATATATTTCCAAAGATTATTTTTAGCATTATACAAGTGTTTTTCAACATAAAAACTATATAAAGGTTACATGTAAATTCTTTTAAATTCTAATTTTATGACATACAATGAGTAATTTAAAGTGACTGATATGTAAATTCTACAGCCATCTAATTCCACTGCCATTCAATCAAGACAGTTGAATATGGCTGAATTCTATGCCTAGTGCCTATTTCCTGTATCTTTCGCTAATTCTCAGACTGGCACATGCCTGTCCTTTCGACTCGCTTCGAGTAGCATCCTACTTTTCTGCAGTGACTGGACTAATGAAGACAGGCATACATGTACATGTTCACCACTTTTCATCCCATCCAAATGACTATAACACTGTCCTTTGCCAGACTCTCTGTCCTAAACCATTGACATGTAAAATATGTGTATATAGACTATACATGTATATAGTGGTGATGATTAAAGTATTAATATTTTATATAAAAGTTTCCTGGATGAATCACATCATTAAATTGATTATATAATTAAATTTTTAAAGGAAGTATTTATTATATAGCATAGCAGGATGTAAATATGTTTAATATTTAAAGTAGTAGCAATATTGTTATTAATTTATAAAAACAAATTTATAAAAACAGTCTTTGTTACATTTATAAAAACATAACCACATCCAGTCTTTGTTACATTTATAAAAACAAAACCACATCCAGTCTTTGTAAACCATGTCCAGTCTTTTGTTTAATTTATAAAAAACAAAGCACATCCAGTAAATTTTTAAAAAAAAACCCACATCCAGTAAATTTATAAAAACAAAACTACATTCAGTAAATTTATATAAAAAAACACATCCAGTAAATTTATGAAAAAAAACACATCCACTATCCAGTAAATTTATGAAAAAAAACACATTCACTATCCAGTAAATTTATGAAAAAAAACACATCCACTATCCAGTAAATTTATGAAAAAAACCACATCCAGTAAATTTATGAAAAAAAAAAACACCCAGTAAATTTATGAAAAAAACCACATCCAGTAAATTTATGAAAAAAAACCCACATCCAGTAAATTTATAAAAACAAAACCACATCCAGTAAATTTATAAAAACAAAACCACATTCAGTCTTTTCATAGAGCTGGAATGTACTTAATTAATGTCATCTACAAACATATTGAATCGTAACTAACCATCACATTTCTTATTACAAAATTTGAAAACTCTAAATCTTACATGTAAATTGATCAGCTAACAAAACAATGTTTGTTTATAGGAAGTGACATTACACAATATACAGAGAGAGATAAGGAATGGGTAATATTCAAGAACATTGCAAGTGCCGAAGTTTGAGCTTGAAATAAATATAGTACATTTTCAACAATTACATGTAGTAATATAATTTAAAGCTGATTAATGACAACAGATTATTCTGGTGAACATGTATATAGAATTATTTTACCTTTAATCTATTACTAGTTAGTTTTGATCCTACCTGTAAATTAATTATAAGCTTGGGATCTGATACACATAACTTGTTATACCACTACTGTTACTGTAGATAAAACACCTGGATCATTCATATACATGTACATATACATAAAAGACTTACAGTTACTTCATGTATAATAAATAATAGGCTGATTATTAATTACATACCTGCACATTCACAGACCTTTATTACAGGTACTGCACATCAGCTATTAATGTCTACTATGTACATCAAAGTTAAATAGCTGGTGATGGGAGTAACCCAGGGCTTTTGTTTCAGTTATATTTACAAGTCAAGAAAGACTGACAGTGAAATTGATCACTCAATAGTCAAGGTCATAAAGCATCTGTCATAGTCATTGTCAGGCCCCTGATCTGTTTTTAGTGTCCTGAAAATACTCCGATTACGTTAACGACAAAAAAGGAATAAAAACATTGTCTGACAACTTAGGTGTATGTTTGTTTTGTTGCCTGGCAACTTATGTTTAACATATTTAATAAAGAAATCAATATACAATTTGTATTTAATGTACTTTCAGTTGTCCACCAAGAACTTTTCTACCAGCTTTATGTCGGATATTTCTAGATGAATGTGCCCCAGATAATGTATTAGAAGTTACAGCTCGTGCCATTACATACTATCTTGATGTCTCGGCCGAATGTACCAGGCGTATTGTTGCCGTCGATGGCGCCATCAAAGCTCTGTGTAACAGATTGGTGGTGGCAGAAATGTCCTCTAGAACAAGCAAAGACTTAGCTGAACAATGCATCAAGGTAAACTCAATAATCGTATATTAGTTGCAGATAAATTACTGTTTTGAACTTTCATATAATTTGAGAGATCATCATCAGGGCTGGAAAATTTCTCCAATTTATAGCGATGTGAAAATTTTGAGGATATTTTTTGCAATAATCCCATTTAAAATTATTTAACTGTCAGATAAGCCGCGAGATTATATACGATTGATATTTCGATTCTGTTTTCTCAATTAAATGTTAAATATTGTAACCAATTTGAGTAGATTCTAGCATGGATAAAGCCCTGGAAAATATTTTTCAAAATGCAAACAACATTGTATATCTGATTTTCAAATCCTGATTCGCCATTTGCAATTTCACAAAAATATCAAATTTTTCAAGGCTTAATACATCATGTATTTGCTAAATATGTAAACAGATTGATTATTTAACATTTAATGAAGAAAGATTCATCTTTCACAATAATGTAGTTTGCAGTGGGCGTCCTTGATGAAGGAATTCCCAATCCATCGATAGTAAAAACTGTTCCATGTGACCTTATCGATGGTAAGAGAACCTTATTTTGACATATCGGGATTAAATTCCATTTCAACCACAAAAACTAACGTTTGTCAACACACTAGTTTGTAATGAATGAACAGGAAAACAATGCTGTAAGTAAAGTTAAACAATGAGGTCACATGAGACCGTCTGCTCTATGGTGCCACTTATAAATTTTGCCCCCATATCTCTAGCAAGGATGCCCATTGATCCCTATTATTTAAAATGGCGCATCTAGACTTTAATCCACACTCTGTATCATTCTTTTTGATCAAAGTTTTTTTTATTTGTGCAGGTGATGGAATTAATCTGTACAAGAGAATCAGGAGCTGTTTTTGAAGCAGGCGGATTAAACTGTGTTTTGACTTTCATACGAGAACATGGATCACAAGTCCATAAAGATACTCTTCATTCTTCCATGTCAGTTGTATCGAGATTATGTGGTAAAATGGAACCGCAGGATGCAGCGCTTGAGAATTGCGTGGAATCGCTTTCAACCCTTCTCGAACATGATGATTCATATGTAAGATTTTAATTTGCTTTCCCTTCACTTCTTTTTACACTTCGTAATCATAAATTGATGAATAATATATAGGAGAGAATTGTACATATCTATAATTAATGTAGTGGATTCTGTGAACTGACAAGATTAAAACTTGGATAATAGCCAAACATTTAGAATAAACATTGTTGCCAATGGAATCAATTTGAACTTAATATATTTAAAGAGAAATAGAAAGAGCGAAGGTATAACAAAACGAAACTAAATTTATCTATTTTACTCAGATTGTACTTCTATGATTCATTAGATAAATAACAACCCCAATCTTTATATTTTAATTTTCTATATCTACATCATATTTATTTAGACTTCTTTTAGACCCATGCTTAACTTTATTTTAATATTTTATCTTATTTCTGATGTAAAGTTCCATTTTAAATTACATATTTATGTATTTGATACTAATAATTATTTTATTGTAAAGCGCCTTGGAACATTTTATGAAAAGGGCACTATATAAATCTATGATAATAATAATTTATACTGTTGAATATCTTTGACATGATTCTACTACCAAATTATGAATAATAACTTTCGGAGTAGAACCAAACCAATTTGAATTTCTGTTATTCATGTACACCTGTAAAACTGTCCTTCTTATTTCCTTTGGGAGAAAGAGGAAGGTTGAATGGCCGAATAGTTAGCACATGCGCGTTGTATCATAAGGTCTGTCATTGAGTCAACTGGCAGGGTTTTGACGGGTCTTCCGGTTTCCTCCCACTACTAAAGACCCCTACACGAAAGCGAATTATTGAAATAAAATTGAACTGTGTTAGTCCCAAAATGACCTATTTTGTGTCGAGTGGAGGTTAAACCCGATTTCTCTCTCTCTATCCAACTCTCTATCTCTCTCTCTCTCACTTTTTTGAGGAAGACTTATTTAAAAACCATAATTACTTGGTTGTGCTGTTCAAAAGCTTTTTGTTTTTGAAGTTTTAAACAAGCTATCTTTTACGTGATTCAAGTGGTTATTTATTTACCAAGACCCTGAAGAACCGAAAATCAAATTGGCATGGCCTAATTTCCTTCTTTTAATAGAAACAAACAATTTAGATTCAAAGTAGATCAGTTGATGAATTTGATGACTTTTGCTTTTCAATCTGATTAAAATACAGATCTATATTTCGTTTCGTATTTTTATACTTTCGATGGCCTACACTACATGAAGATCTGACCTGTTGTAGCGATGGGTCGCGTCAAGAGGTCATACGAGCAGGTTTGGACCCTATGAAGTCAGACATTTGATTATCCAATCAGCATTGATGCTATTAGTGGATTACCCACAGTTCCGTGTTAAACATGCCTAAAGCTTGCCGTAACAGACCGTTCCATTGGCTAATTTCTCACACCATTCATAACACGTCAATGATATACATGTACTCTTCAAGTTCCTGGTTCAGTAAAGACAAATAAAACGAAATAGGATCTGTGTTTTAATCAGATTGTTTGCTTTTTAAAATGTATTGTTCTGAAATATGAAATCATTTTTATTTTCTTCCCAGGTATCTGACGGAGCTCTAAGATGTTTTGCATCTTTAGCTGATCGTTTTACACGAAGAGGAATCGATCCAGCCCCGCTAGCAAAACACGGTCTGATATTGGAATTAACGCAACGACTACATCAAGTTGGTGACGTGAGTCACAATGTTTCCATAACCAGTACCCCAGGATCATCCAGTATGTCGGCTGATTCTAAATCTAGTCCCAGTATCTCAACAGTTATAAGCCTATTGTCTACGTTATGTCGCGGATCACCTGGTATAACCCATGATTTGCTCCGGTCGGATTTACCCGATGCTATCGAGAGTGGATTACGAGGGGATGAAAGGTAAGTGAAATTGTTAGATGAGTCAGTAATGAATGAAATGAGGATTTAAATGTCTACTTTTCTCCACCAACCGTTCCATTACTAGTCCTGCTATAAAAGTGATTAATAAGTTGGTAGCCTCCTTTCATTTGAGAGGGGGGTTGGGTGGCAGAATGGTTAACATGTGAACATTTCATCATAAGGTCTTGCATTGAGTCAAGTGGTTTCGATTCCCCGGCAAGGAGTAGGGTTGTCTGTCCAACGTCTTGGGTTTTCTCTAGTCCCGAAATGAACTAGTTTGTGTCGAGTGGAGGTTAAACCCCCATTTCTCTCTCCCTTTGATTTGAGCTATTGGTTACATGAGTTATTCATTGGTGGTCAAAATTAGATAATTTTTATTTGTAGATGCTGCTTAGATACAATGAGACTGGTTGATCTATCATTATATTTTATTTGTAGATGTTGCTTGGATACAATGAGACTGGTTGATCTGCTGTTAGTTTTATTGTTTGAGGGACGTAAAGCTCTACCTAAGACAGGTGTGTGTAGTATAACCAGTCGTCTACCTGGATTACGACGAACAGATAGCGCTGGTGAACGTTCACACAGACAGTTGATAGACTGTATACGTAGTAAAGATACAGACGCACTTATAGATGCCATCGATAACGGTAGGTTTATTACTTGTTAAAACCATATTTAAGTATTTATTCGTTATTTTTATACGCCCACATTTTCATGTGGACGTACATTGTCGTCGCCCCGTTCAAACATCCGCCCACAATTTGTTTGTGGACACTCTACAGGTCACAATCTTTGTCCGATTTTTGATGAAACTTGTCTTTGCTGTTGCATCTCATGTGGTTGTCCTCACCTGCAATAGTCAGCTGGTTATTATTCAGCTGGCAATTACCCCTCTCGTAATAATCTTTTCTATTTTGGTAAAAAGCAAATCAAATTTCATAATTATGATGGTGAAATATAATTTTAGGGTTTGGTAAATATGGCAATCTGTAGCCAAGTTGGCAAATTAAATGTAAAGGGGTTTAACGTCCTACTTTTCTGCACCAGCTGGGTTGATGAAGACGGACATACACCATACTGTGTGCTACATGTATGAGAAAAACTTTGCCCAGATAAAGCCTATGCTTGTAATGATTACCAACCGTAGTAGGGATATCTTTCAACATACTACCAATAATATACACAAGACAAGACATTTTAATTTGATAGATGCTTGCCCATGTTAGGAATATGATTTGTTTGATTTATCTTATTTATTTGTTTTTTCTAGGATTTGAAGTCAATTTTATGGATGATGTAGGACAAACTTTATTAAACTGGGCTTCAGCTTTTGGTACCCAAGAAATGGTGAGTAACGAATGTTCTGTTTGAGATGAAATCTGCTGGAGTTCATCGATGATGAGTGTAGATGAAGTAAACGCGACTATATCTGTTGTTGGAAAAATAACACACTTCCATTGTACTAGCTACAACATTTTTCAAATAAGTTTTTACGAATTAGGCCAAGAATAAATAGAGTTGGTCGAAAAAATGTTTTTGTTTTTTTTCCTGTGGTGTTTTTGTTATCTTTTTCCTAGCTTATCTATCTATTTCCTAGTAGGCCTAAGGTTTTTGAAAATAATACCAAAATTCAGTATTGGAATTTGTCTAGAGAAAATCTGCCAAGAACGAGTTAAAGGACCTGGGGAAATGAAAGAGAAAAGTTTATGGTCGGCAATGGTCGTTTAGGTAACCTTAAACAGTGAAAGCTTTAACTTCTGCAGAAGAAGTATCTACTTATGGAGAGGTTGGATGGCTGATTGGTTAGCGTGCGAGCGCTGTATCATAAAGTCTGTCATTGAGTCAACTGGCGTGGTTTTCGAATCCCTGGTTGTACGTGACAAGGAGTAGGGTCGCCTGTCCAACCTCGTGGGTTCTCTCTGGGTCCTCCGGTTTCCTCCCACTGCTAAAGACCCCTATGCGGAAGTGAATTATTGAAATAAAATTAAAACCATATTAAACCCCATTTCTCTCTCTCTCTCTCTCTATCTACTTATGGTTATGAAACTATGGTTGCTGATTGGTTGTTTTTTTTATCTATCTTAGGTTGAGTTTTTATGTGAGAGGGGAGCCGATGTAAATCGTGGATTACGATCTTCATCGTTACATTATGCTGCTTGTTTTGGTCGACCACAGATTGTCAAGGTATAGTTATTATCTTTTCTTGAAAATTATTATAAGAACTTTTACAATTCCATTCCAAAGATGAAAAAACAGATTGAATTCCATTAGTCCATTACTTTTAATTGACATCGAATATCTATTATTATAAATCTGTTTTAAATGACCTTTACTATTATATATGGCAGATGCTTGCATATTACAGTATTTATGTGTCAATTAGTCAGTTGAGATTAAAGACCCCTTTATCTCTATTGGTAGCTGTGTGTTTAATTATAAATATGAAAACTTTCTTAATCAACACTTATATTATAGTGAGCAGGGTGGTCTAGTGGTTAAACTGTGCGCGGGAAAGCACTAGGTCTGTCATTGAGTCAAGTGGCATGGTTTCGATTCCCTTCTGGTTCATAAAAAGGATTAGGGTCTCCTGTACAACCTCATTGGTTTTCTCTGGATCCTCCAATTTCCTCTTACAGCTAAGGACCCCTTTGCGGAACCATATGTTAGTCCCAAAATGACCTAGTTTGTATCGAGTGGATGTTAAACTCTCTGTCTCTCTCTCTATGGTTAGTGAGCCAGTGCATTACTTACTGAGTCATGATGGGTCCCACATTAAAACAAAAATACTACCTTCAAGAATATATGTCATTTTGATGATCTACCTTTTTAAAGTGAATAACCATATGGCCCTTTCTTTCACTTTCAGACATTATTACGATATGGAGCTAACCCTGATTTACGTGACGAGGATGGTAAAACACCGTTAGATAAAGCAAGAGAACGGGGAGATGAAGGACATCGAGAAGTGATTCAGATTCTACAATCACCAGGTAATATTGTCATTTATACAGATAGAAAATAATATTAAATATGTTTACCGATTGGATAGCAGGGCTGTTTTAACAGCATTAAAGGCACTCGGGCATAGAGTGTACTGAGGCCCTACTTGGCGATTATAATGTCTGCATTGAGTCGTTGAGGTGGGTGGGGGAGGGAAGTTGATGGTTAGCGCGTGCGCGTAGTATCGTACGGTCTTCCATTGAGTCAACAGGTGTGGTTTCGATTCCCTGGTTGTATGTGACAGGGAGTAGGGTCGCCTGTCTAACGAAGTTTTTTCTGTGTCCTCCATTTCAGACCCACTGCTAAAAACCTCTATGCGCAAACGAATTATTAAAATTAAATTGAACTATGTGTTAGTCCTGAAATGTCATGGTTTGTGTTCAGTGCATGTTAAACTCCATTGCTCTGTGTATAATTATAATTTATGTTGTTATGATAAAGGTGAATGGATGGTACCTGTACACAGAGAAACATCAACAGCTGAAGTGGAAACTAAAGAGAAGAAAGAAGAAGTCAGTGAACCAGAAAAAGTAGAAGTTGTCGAAGCTAAAGGTGATCCAGAGGTAGCACCTCTCTATGTTAGAAGATTATTACCTACCTTTACACAGGTGTATCACAGTTCTATGTTGGCTTCAGTCAGGTAAATTTTTATTCTCACATTACAATTTAACCACGTTACTCTTTGAAATTTCTGACATGCGGATTTCCGATGGTCGAATTCAAAATGGTCTGCAGAGGATATTGATTTATCATGGAGGCATGACAATAGATAATCATCTGTATTTGCGATGGGATGTGCATATGAATATTCATTGTTGAACCAGCATTTGGTGATAGGTTGTCTCTATGACTACACTCATAACAACCCCCAAGTAAGTAGCTACACGTATGCATACATCCTAAGATATGTTGCGTCTCTATGACTACACTCATAACAACTCCAAGTAAGTAGCTACATGTATGCATACATCGTAGGATATGTTGCGTCTCTATGACTACACTCATAACAATCTCCAAGTAAGTAGCTACATGTATGCATACATCGTAAGATATGATGCACTGAAAGCTCAAACTCTTGCACTCGACAATGTTAGAATTAATGGGGTTGATTTCTTGGACATAACTAAAACTGGTTCCAGAAAATTCATTTTTATTCTTCAATAATCTTGGAAAGTTGCATAGATCAAAATTCACACTAAGTCATTCTTTTGGTCTTCAAAATACTTTCGGTGGGTCTTCTAAATTGACAAAATTGTAATTGAGTGAAATGGAAGGCTTATAAATACAGCTATCTTTTCCTGCAGAATTAAATATATGTTTTTATTTATAGGAAAGCTACCCTGTCATTGATGAGAAAGATGTTACATTATATGAGTGAACCTTTACTATATGATATGTGTAACCCAGAGTTTATTAGCCCAAACTTCGCCTCAAGTTTAACAGAAGTTTTATCAACAGTATTAGATACAGAGGTAAATATTATAAATATCACATTCGAAATCACATTTAAATTATTATAAATATCACATTCAAAATACATGTATTATAAATATTATATTCAAAATATTATAAATATTCATAATATTATAAATATCACATTCAAAATATTATAAATATCACATTCAAATATTATAAATATCTCATTCAAAATATTATAAATACATGTATCACATTCGAGTATTATAAATATCACATTCAAAATATTATAAATATCACATTCAAAATCAGAATCTAATCTTTAAATGTGTTTTTATTACAGGATGATGATGATGGCCATCATACCGTGTTGTTAATCATGCAAGATCTTATGATCAAAGGACAGAATATATTTTTAGAACATTTTGCTAGACTTGGATTATATGGCCGTGTCTTGTCTCTGGCAGGTCCTGTCATAGATGAGGAAGAAGGAGCAAAAGCCAAAGAAGAAAAGGTAAATATGCCAAGGAAATGTAAATGTTATGCAAAACATGTCTTTTAAATAGTCTTATGCAGACAGTCCTGAGACCATCTAGAAAAAAGAGCTAAATTTTGGATGTTTATGTTTGGCCCGGTTCACTGATTTTTAATTGCCTGGAATGCTAATCTAAACAATATGTCCAACTTGAGTGGCATTATTGCTGATATAAAAAGTCCAGTTAGATAAGTGTTGATAGCTATAAACCTGCCATTGTGAGTATCAAATGACAACATTTTAATTTCTAAAATAAAAAGCTCTTTTTTATATAAATCATATTTATTATCGATGATGAGGTTGATAGATAACAGCTTAACACTATTATATACAAATTACTCAATATAACACTTGAAGAATAGCCTAAAAGTATGTAATACAAGGTTGTGGTCTCTTTAGAGGTAAATTTAATATCTGATTGACTTTAAATTAATATCCGTGTTTACAAAGAATCCTATTGATTTTCACCAAATTCCGATAATTACTGCCAGAGTTACATATATCGCCCTATATCACTTTGAAAAATCTGGTGGACGCTCTAGGGGCTAAAGTTAATATCCGATTGACTTTAAATATATACACAGTCTTTAAGGTCATCAGACGAAGAAGCCTGTTGATTTTCAACGATTTCTGATAATGGCTGCCAGATAGTTATCAACTGATTGATTTTATATTCATACACCGTGTTTACGCCTATATATAATAGTTTCGATTGACTTTAGATTGATACACAGAGTTTAAGGTCTTGAGACGAACAAGTATATTGATTTTCAATGATTTTTGATAACTTGAACAGCTAAATACATGACATTAAGTGTTTTGTATATACGTTAGCATGGGCCAAACAAATTCCAATGATTTTCTGATAATTACATCACGAGTTATTACTCTTAATCAGATTTTAGTGTATTGTAAATATTTCATTACCGACAAATATCTCTGTTCCTTTTGATATCCACGCAAATCAGACCTAATTTCCCGTCTTATGACCCCCAATTTTACGAGAAATCACGTTTTTATCTTGTCCGATTATATGTTTATATCCCAAAGTTCTGGGTTCCAGTCGATACTTCGGACCGTGTCAGCCTGGATTATGATACCTGATTGTACGAAAAACTTGTTTTTAAAGCTTGTTCTCTGTCCATCTCTTGCAAAATGTTGGCGTCTCTTGCATGGCAACGCCTGTTTCCAAATATATTTCATATTCAAGCTGTATATTAAATAACAAATAGATTGTTTTGGGGTAACCTCTCCCTGTATTTAAAAAATCCGTAAATGTTCATATTTTTGAACGAACATAAGATATTTTTGGATAAAATTTTCTTTAATAATAATTGATAAGTTTGTAAATAGTATTGTACCTTGTAGTCACATATAATACATGTACGATGGCTCAATAGGCCCTTTTCTATGGAAATAAATATGCATAGATGAATGTAAAATGCCACTGGCAAGAGTTATACAAAGATAATGTGCTCAACAACGCTTATTTTACTTATGCATATTAATCTCCCCAGGAAAAAGGTCCAAAATCATTTAATTGGATAACATCAAATTGGTCAATGTCAAAGTATATGAGTAAAATAGTGTAAGATATTTTATAGCCTGGCTTAGAGAAGTTGCTGTAGATATTACATCTCATTAAATAAGCATATTATTACCGGTACTTTATGTAATATTTGAATCCATTTTTATACGCTGACATTTTCATGTGGACGTATATTGTCGTCGGCTCTGTCCTTCCGTCCGGACGTCCACAATTGTTTGTGAACACTCTTCAGGTCACAATTTTTATCCAATTTCAATGAAACTTGAAATATAGGTTAATCCCCCTAAGATCTCGGTTCCTTTCGATATTGGCATGTACCGGACTGTAACTTCATGGATTATGGCCCCCGATTGTACGAAATATTACGTTTTGAGCTCGTGAACAGTGCAGAGGTCACAATTTTTAGCCGATTTGGTTTAAATTTGAAATTTATGTTTGTATACCCTGGCTAAAACAAGATGCTACATCTAATTAAATAAGCTAATTATTACTTTATGTAATATTTGAATCAATTTTATTTTCATGATATAATTATTATATTAAATTGTTATTAAATTTGTTTATTTCTACATTCAATTTGATTATTTTCTTTTATTCTCTTATTCATTTTTAATTTTAATTTCAATTGAAAATCCCACAGAACCTGATTTCCAAATCATCTAGCTTTTATATTCTAAATATAGAGCAGTGTAATATGACACTTATACACTGCACCATCTAAATAGATAATAATTGGGTGACAATTAATTATCTTTGAGAAGTTGATGACAAGATTCTCTTCAACAAACTTCCATTATCTTTGAGGTCAAATTCCTAAACATGAAGAAATCAGGCTGATTTCTAGTTGGTCTTAAGAGTGCAGAGCAATTATGAGAGATTTTCTCCAAACATGGTATGGCAAGACTGACATCATAGATCCTTGGTAGTTGATCAGCTAGAAAATTGGCCCCTTATCTAAAATACCCTGGGTCAAGAAGCGCGATCATGAGTTTTCATGCACGATCTGTGTTTTTACCATAACTTCAGTAGGAAATATTGAAATAGATTTCTGTCCTCCCATCTTCTCCCAATTTTGTTTCTGAAGCATATCTCCTAAACTGTTCTCAAGATATTTTTACATAACTTTGTACACACATCAACCTATTATTGTAGTTGTTCTTTTCTCAGATTTGATCGTTTTTGTTGTTTTATGATACAATGACACATGAAATTGATGACTGAGACTTCTTTTTTGGATGTCATTAGATTATTCATTAATTCATTATTTTGATATTTAACAGAGTGAGGATTCCTCATTAGAAGATGGTAAAGATATCGTTCAGGGTCGTCCGTATCATTGGAGAGATTGGTGTATAGTACGGGGTAGAGATTGTCTATATTTATGGAGTGATGCTGCAGCGGTTGAATTATCTAACGGAAGTAATGGATGGTTTAGATTTATATTAGACAGTAAACTGGCCACTATGTATTCTAGTGGTAGCCCTGAAGGTGGATCTGATAGCTCAGGTATATGTAGCTTTCATTATTCTGGTTTTCTATTTAAAGACTCCGAAGGCCTCCACTACGAAGATCTGATTGGTTGTGGTGGGTGGCTTTTGACCTTATGACGTCAAACATTTGATTAACCAATCAGCATTGAAGTGTCTAGTGGGTAGACTCAGTTCCGCACACCAAGAACTCGCTGCAACAGAAATGAGCATGTCAGTGTCGATTAGCTGTGAATCCTCACTCTCTCTTAAAGGTTACAATCTATGATTTTGGAGTAAGTGTCAAAAAATCAGTATGTATGTTTGGTTGATGTAACGCTAAACTAGATATCTATCTTGTCTTTCTAGAAAATCGTGGAGAATTTTTAGAGAAATTGCAGCGAGCGAAATCCCAGATAAAAGTTGGTTTAGCGAGTCAGCCGATTTTATCTCATCCTAGTTCTACGAGATTAGTTATAGGTAACTGGTCGTTGTCGTGTAAAAAAGAAGGTGAATTACATATACATAACTCAGACGGACAACAGGTAAGAGGCTGTTTATTTTATATAAGTTACTAGCTGTGTCCATTTTTGTTTCCCCCCTTGTCAGTGGTGCCTAGCAAGGAACATCATCTAATTATTCAAATGAAAAACCAAGGTCTCCATTTACACGTTGGGGTGTATGTAAAAGCGAACCCTGGACTGCTGAAATTCGAAATATGTGTAGGCCATAGCACTGCTGCCTGGACAAAATTTCCTGACAAGGACAGCTGTCTAGTCGTTCGGATGGGATGAAAACCGAGGTCCTGTCTACATATTGGCGTGCACGTAAAAGATTCCTTGGCAGTTGGCATTCGATATAAGAGTAGAACATAGTGGCGCTGTCCAGGCAAAATTTCCCACATGGCACACTGCGTGGCATATGCCCGTCTTCATTAGCCCAGTCGGAGCAAAACAGTAAGACGTTAAACCCCATTTCATTGCATTTAAAGAGGTCTAGCCATCTTTTAATAATTGTCATATGATTTTCATTCTTGTTTTTCAGCAAGCGACCATATTAAAGGAAGATTTACCAGGTTTTATTTTCGAATCAAATCGTGGAACAAAACATTCCTTTACAGCTGAAACATCTCTAGGACCAGAATTTGCCGCTGGATGGGCTGGAAAAAAGAGTAAAAAATTAAAATCAAAAGTAGATGCTATACGAACGAAGGTAAGGAAATCTTACGTCAACCATTATGGTTTACACATTAAAGAATGTAGAGAGTTTCGTTTTTAAATCGGCGAGTAAAGCGTGGACTCACTAACCAAGATATCCAGGATTACTTAGAAAGCTTTGTTTCCCGTTATCATGGTGTATGCCCATCTTCAGCGGGTTGGGTGGCCAAATGGTTAACAACGGTGCGTTGCATCAGAAGGCCTGTCATGGTTTCGATTCCCCACTTGTACGTGACAAGGAGTAGGGTCACCTGTCTAACCTTGTGGGTTTTCTCCGGGTCCTACACACAGTGACTTATTGAAATAAAATTGAACCATGTTAGTCCCGAAATGACCTAGTTTGTGTGGATTGGACATTAAACCCCATCTCTCTCTCTCTCTCTCTCTCTCTCTCTCTCTCTCTCTCTTTGGATGCTCATCTTCATTGACCCATTTGTGATTACCATAAATATCAGCAGAAATCAGTGCACTAAAAATATCTCTTAAATACATAATAAGGGTTTTCTCTGGGGTCGAATATTGCCCACACTCTTTAATGAAAAGATGAAAACAAACCAATCATAAATAAGTTGAACGAGTGTTTTATATCAATTTATATCAACTGATCGTTTGAATGATAATCTCTTTTACATAATGTGTGGGAATGTACATACTTCCAACTCCTTGAAAAATAGGGGGGTTGGATGGCCGAATGGTTAGCATGTGTGCGCTGCACGCTGTATCATAAGGCCTGTCATTGAGTCAACTGGCGTGGTTTCGAATCCCCGGTTGTACGGAATAGGGTCGCCTGTCCAACCTGTAAGTCCCAAATGACCTAGTTTGTGTCGAGTGGACTTTAAACCCCATTTCTCTCTCTGTCACCCTTGAAAAATAAATGACAGAATGATAAAGATGTGAAATATAATTTGTAGGAAATATAATGGATGGAATAATACAGTGATGTGAAATATATTTTTTTTCAGGTACGAAGTGTAGCAAGAGATTTATATGAAGATTATTTCCGGGAAGCCGAGGCCAAACCACGAGGCGTAGTAGCGAAATTATTTACAATAGTCCAACAATTAGAAGCAGCTTGTGCTAAACATATCAGTCAGATCAAGGTAGAAACTTACATCATTGCCTTTAAAGATGCGCCTTGGACCTTTAAGATTCTAGCGAGATCATTTCTCTTGTGCCAGGAGTTGGTGAACAAGTAGTAGAGAAACTTGAGCCTTTTAGATTTTGGGATCAGGCCCAGGAACTGGTAACAGGATTTTAGATAAGTTCAAGCGAGCTTATTTAACTGGGGCTAGAGTTTGGTGAACAAGTAGTAGAGCAACTTGAGCCTTTCAGATTTTGGGATCAGGCCCAGGAACTGGTAACAGGATTTTAAATAAATAATTTTAAAGTTATTTTGTGAGGAGCTTTTGTGTTCTAGTAGTAGAGCAATTTGGGCCTTTGAGGATTTTGGGCCCAAGAACTAGTAATTCTATTTCATTAAGTTCTAGTAAGGTCATTTTTCGTGTGTACAGAGGTCTGGTGGAGCATGTTGTAGATTATAACTTTATAAGGCCTATCTTTTTACAAGGAGTAGGGTTGTCTGAACTACCTCATGGGCTTTTCATCCCACAGTCTGGTTCATCGAGATTTTCTGGTGTGGTTGGCATGCACGTAAAAGATCTCTTGGCAGTTGGGATTTGATATAAGAGTAGGCCGCTGCCCAGTCAAAATATCCCTCATAGCACACTGTGTGGCGTGTGCACGTCTTCATTAACCCAGTCGGTGCAGAACAGTAGGACGTTATACCCCATTTCATTTCCTTTGAGAGATCAGCTTTCACAGTAAGTGTTATTGGACATCTATGTGCCATTAATCCATTTATTTTTACACGATATTGATTTCTTCTTTAGGGTGCCGATGATGAAATGGTGTGGGCGCAGGAGATGAAGAATGCTTTAAATGAATTAGTGACTTTATTAAAAGACGAACATACGATATCATCATTTGAATTATACAGTAGCGGTCTTGTTCAAACTCTACTTAATATACTTAATAATGTAAGTACAGTAAGGCTATTGGTCAAATTGGGTTGATGTGTGCGCTTAAGGTCATATGGTTTGTGGGGGGATGGATGGCCAAGTGGTTAGCGTGTGCGCATTGCATCATAAGGTTTTTCATTGAGTCAAGTGGAGTGGTTTTTCGATTCCCCCGCTTGTACATGACTAGGAGTAGGGTCAACTGTCAAATCTCGTAGGTTTTCTACGGGTCCTCTGGTTTCCTCCCACTGCAAGCACATTATTGAAATAAAATTGAACCATATGTTAGTCCCGAAATGGTCTGCCATTGAGTCAAGTAGTATGGTTTGGATTCTCCGCTTGTACCTGTCAGGGGGGTTGGATGGCTGAATGGTTAGCGTGCACGCGATATATCATAAAGTCTGTCATTGAGTCGACTGGCGTGGTTTCGAATCCCCGGTTGTACGTGACAAGGAGTAGGGTCGCCTGTCCAACCTCATGGGTTTTCTCCGGGTCCTCAGGTTTCCTCCCACTGCCAAAGATCCCTACGCGCAAGCGAATTATTGAAATAAAATTAAACCATATGTTAGTCCCGAAATGACCTAGTTTGTGTCGAGTGGACGTTAAACCCCATTTCTCTCTCTCTCTGTGTACCTGTCAAGGGATATTGGTTGCTTGTCCAACCTTGTGTGTTTTCTCCAGTTTCCCCTCACTGCTAAAGGCCCCTATGAGCAAGCGAATTATTGAAAAAAAATTTAATGTCCACAATTGGGTCACTAGAAGTCGTGAACTTCTGAAAAAAAAAGAGTTAGTGAGCTGCCTTTGCTTTCAATATTAACAAACATCAACAAAAAATATTAATGATTTATTACATTGCAAAAGGAAAATTTATACAATTACCACTCTGAAGCACATGTCTAATCGTATGTGTTTGTTCTCCTTGGTTTTCTTCTACTGCTAATGTGTGTTATGTTAAATGGACTTTAAACCCCATTTCTCTCATACCAAACACTCCGTTAAACAGGAAATATAAATTTTACAGGAATATTTTTAAAATGTATTTTACAGAATATAAATACTGAAATTCCCTGTTCTAAAGAAAATAAAAGAAGATTACGTGAAAGAATTAATATTTTTAAATCTGTGTTTCAAGAAAAGGAGAGGTGAGTGAAATTAATAAGTTAAACATTTACATTTCATCCCAGATCTTATGTATACATCATTATAATTTTAGAAATGAACACTTTACAAAAGGAAGGATGGATTGAAAAATACTTTTCACAACTACAAACATACTAGGGGGTTGGATGGCCAAATGGTTAGTGCGTGTGGCATATGCGTTGTATCACAAGGTGTGTCATTGAGTCAACTGGCGTGGTTTTGATTTCCTAGTTTCCTCCCATTCCTAATAACCCGTATGCGCAAGAGAATTAATTAAATAAACTTGAACCATATGTTAGTCCCAAAATGACCTAGTTTTTGTCGAGTGGACGTTATACCCCATCTCTTTCTCTCTCTCACTACAATACTACTATGAACAGGTGTGGACATAATGTTACAGACTTTGTCAAGTACAAATTATCGCCAAACATATATTATAATAAAAACGCTGTGTGATAATTTATGTCTGACAAAGGCTGTAACAGGGGCCTTTTGTCCTGGCTTGGCTATGAACTTGGGGCCTGTTTCACGAAATCTTAGTAGATACTTCAATTTTGATTGGCTAAGCATTAAAATCAATCTAATATAATCCCATCAAATTACTAAAATTTGAATTTGATCTTAGTTAAAATTTCGAGAAACAGGACCGAGGATTGTGGAATTGTGACATACATCAATCAATGCACAATTTTCTAAAGAAAAAGCCTGTCAAGTTTCATGGCAGACGTTATAGCTTTTTGTCAAGATCATCATCGCAACAAGAAGACAACAATTGCTAAATGTATGTAATGTGATGGAAAAATGAATTAGAGTTGATGAATTTCTATTTGATTGAAGGGGAATTACTGTTTTGGATTTGGGCCCTTTTTTTTTAGAATTTTGGTTTTTAACTAAATGTAAGGCTTTTTAACATACATATACCACAGTACATAACTTTTGTTCTTGTGAAGGGGGGTCACGATGGCTAAGTGGGTAAGATGCTGGCATGCTAGCCTGGAGGTCGGGTCTTTGATCCCTGCATTCTCTGAGAAAGTTCATCCAGATTTTCTGGCGTGGTTCCTCCCTTGTCAGTGGTGCAAGACGGAGGGCCTGACAAGGACAGTCGCCTAGTCATTCAGATGGGATGAAAACTGAGGTCCCGTGTACACATTGGCATGTACGTAAAAGATCCCTTGACAGTTGGAATTCGTTATAAGAGTAGGCCGTAGCGCCGCTGTCCAGGCAAAATTTCCTGCATAGCACACTGTATGCCCGTCTTCATTAGCCCAATTCGGAGCAGAACAGTAGGACATTAAACCCCATTTCATTTCTTTTCATTTGTTTTTGTGAAATAGAAACCAGTTTATATTTTTTTTTTTTTTTTTTTTATTAAGTCTCTCTGAGGAGGGGTAAGTTGTCATAACTAATAAAATATCAATATTCATATTTCTGATTATCTTTTTTGAGAATGTTTTCTATGTAAAATGTGCCCTATATATCTAGTTCTTATTGAGTCCATATTATCTGTTTTAATATCTATAAGCTATAATTAATGCATAGTGTTAAACTAATTTCAAATTTGTATAGACAATGTTTATCTAACTCTGGGTTTTGCGGGATTAATTTGGTTTCTGCTCTTCACGTGAAATGGGTTTTAGTCATCTGGGGAAATCGTTTCAAAGACTGAAAACATTTTTTCAGGTGGGAAGATAAATATTTTGTCACTTCGAATAGATTTCAATGTCTTTCTGAGTAAACATCTAATTTTCTGTGTATTTCATTTTGATTGCTACGATAGAGATGGTTTCGATTCCCTGCTTGTACGTAACAAGGAGTAGGGTCACCTGTCCAACCTCATGAGTTTTCTCCAGGTCCTCCGGTTTCTACCCACTGCTAAAGACCCCTGCGCGCAAGCGAATTAATGAAATAAAATTGAACAATATGTTAGTCCCAAAATGACCTAGTTTTTGTTGAGTGGATGTTAAACCCCATATCTCTCTCCCTATAATGCCCTGGATCTCTCTCGCTCTCTCTCTCTCTCTTTCTGTGAGGGCAATGTACAAAACTCATTGTGAAAAAAATAGTTCTTCTCTTAAAGATGCATTATGTAAGAGTTAAATCTGCCTGTTACAGGTTTTTATTTTGGCTTCAAATGTTATATAAATCATTATTTAGACATTTATTCACATGACAAGCCTTACAATCAACTCTCTAGTTCATCGGATGGCACAGACATAAATGGATTAAAATACAATTGTCATTTAATTTTAAAATTGAGAAGCAAGACTGAGTATTGATTAACAAGTAATGTTGCTACTATAATAAACAATCTATGTAAAAACTTCCAAACAGTGATAATGTCGCTCAGAATAAAGTAATTTGAATAAAATTTTCAATGTATTGATTTTAAATTATCTATTTTTGAACTATTAATATTATAGCAAGAACGGCCAACTCTTTATCTAAATCTTACATAATGCATCTTTAATTTATGTCTGGGAACTGGTGTTGTCCGTATTTACAAGTACATGTACCCAAGTCCTAAAGGATTAAATCAGAATGCTTATCCATGGCAACTGAAATATATTTAAATCATAGACTTTAACAGATTTTTTATTATTATTTAGCTTTTTATAATATATTTACGGTTAAATACAGCTATAACAGTTAACTATCTATATCATACATCTTTATATTATATTTGCTATATAAATTTTAATATATTCTTATTTGATTAGTTTTTCAATACTTTTGTTAATCAAATTGATTTCTGGTATTCCTTAATACTTGATGTGAATTATAATTAATGGAATATGATCATTAAAATAATTTTCAGTGTTAATTTTAGAAATGATTTTATAAATGACTTTATAAATGACTTTATAAATGATTTTCAGTGTTAATTTTAGAAATGATTTTATTAATGAATTTATAAATGATTTTCAGTGTTAATTTTGGACATGATTTTAATGACAAAAAATTGATTTTAAAATTTGTTTACAAGTTGATGAAGATGTATGGCCTCTAAAAATTTGGTTATTTTATTTGGATGAAAATTGGTTTGGAAAAGATTACAGAAGGCCTACAAAATTTTCAAGATTTTAATTAATTAAAACTATGGTATCTAAGTGTATTAGAATATAGAAAGCCTTTTCATGATTTTAATTAAAACTGTTTTTTAAAAAGTGTATTTAAAGACAGATATTGACAAAAGGCCCTTTCTATGTTTTTAATCACAACTATGGTTTGAAATGTGTAATTTGGACAATAATGAGATTAGGATAGTATACATTTAAAGCTTTGTGTTCAGGTAGGATATATAGTTGTCTATCTTATTGTGGTATTAATGAAAAATATTTTCTATGTTATAGAGGTGTATCACCAGCGATACAGATGACTCGTAAACTAATAGCAGCATTAGAATCTATAGAGAAATTACCTGTACATAATTACGATCTACCTGGATCAGGCTATGGACTTCAGGTAAAATATCTTTTGTTTTTATACATGCATTGTTGGAATTAAATTCATCTGATAATTACTGGCGGATATAAAGAGACTGTTGTTTCAATTTTTACGAATTTTTTGTTATAGATATTAACAAGGAAACTGAGGTTCCGATTAGAACGTGCATCAGGGGAAAGCACTCTGATTGATAGAACAGGTAGAAGCTTGAAGATGGAACCATTAGCATCTGTAGCTGATCTTGAGAAATATTTACTTAAAATGGTAAGATGATTGTTTATTTCATAGTTTCTCCTGTTTTATTAAACTCATTTCAGAAAATATTTTAAAAAATCTATGGTTTAATTCACACTAATATGTACTCATGTTGATTATGTAACATTTCATTAAGAAAAGAAATATGTTGTGTACACACTGCCGTGCACGTAAAAGAACCCCTGACAGTTGAAATTTGTAGCACACTGTACGGCGTATGGCTATCTTCATTAGCCGGCTTGGTGTAGAAATGTAGGACTTTAAACCCCATTTCATTTCATTTTTAATATTTTGTAATTTTTTTTAAATTTTAGGTAGCTAAACAGTGGTATGATTATGAACGTAATACGTTTAACTTTGTAAAGCAATTGAAGGAACAAGATGCCACCATGACTTTCGCACATCAGAGTGATTTTGATGATAATGGTCTGATTTACTGGATAGGTACAAACGGCAGGTGGGTGTACCTTCAGTTTATTGTACCATTGGGCCATCATTAATGTCATTATGATGTATTGCTATTTTCACTTTATTTTACCTTTAGTTGTTTTGTATTGCTATTTTCACTTGATTATACCTTCAGTTGTTTAAGGCCCTCATTATTTTATATTGCTACTTTCACTTTATTATACCTTCAGTTGTTTAAGGCCATCAATATTTGTTATTGCTACTTTCAATTTGAATATCTGACTTTCTGGCCGAAACTTAGATCATTCTATTAAAAGGTGGACTTTAATATCAACTGACTGTATTTAAGCCAAAAAAGAAAGCAGACTTTCAAATATCTCTGTTATCATCTTGATTAACTGTCATGTTAGATTTTAATATAACTATGATTATTACTACAGGACTACGACAGATTGGGTAAATCCTGCCCAGTATGGTTTAGTGATGGTGACGTCATCAGAAGGTCGTAATCTGCCGTATGGTAAACTAGAAGATATACTGAGTCGAGAGAGTGCTGCGTTAAACTGTCATACAAACGATGATAAGTAAGTTATGCCTCACATTTTGTATTGCTGTATTAGTTTGATAATGTCGACGGAATACTTCTCCAAACGTCACACAAATATATTAGTAGCTGTTTGGTATAGTTTATTACTCTATACAGTTACTCAATACGTCCGTGCCTTAAAAGGATTAGAATTGTTATAGTAGTCGGGGCAGCAAGGGGACAAGACTCTTGACCACGAGAACCCAAGTTCCAAATACCTGCATGAACCCTGAAAAATCTTTGAAATTTTCAAGCCCTGCATCTCGATTCAGGGACAGTGACAAGTAAAGTGTAATGCCACTGTCAGCCCCCCCCCCCCAAGCTTTTTCACAATTCAATCTACACATGACTATAGGAAAAAAAATAAAGATGTCAGTCTGAATATGACCAAAGTATTTCGGTTGATTGAGAATAGTAATTGTTTAGAAGGATCAGTTATCAGTTGAACTTTGACTCCACAAATTTAGGTACATGTATGTGTTATATTCTCACATCTAGATTGAAATGTAACGATAATGTATTATGTTTTCAGGAAAGCGTGGTTTGCGATTGATCTCGGTGTATGGATTATACCCACAGCCTATACACTACGACATGCCAGAGGTTACGGAAAGTAAGTAAACCTTATTTTACATAGGGTCCTCTGTGGTTACCATGGTTATGACTCAGGACTAAATTCTTCCTGGTTCTCAGCAGAAGAACAATATTTAAGCCTTAGTGAAATAGTAAGGGCACTGGACTTTTGACTAGAATATCCAGGATTCTCCAGATTGTTCCAGACTGGTGCACTCTTGTCAGTGGTAGCATCTTAAACATACATTATGCAAGAGCTAAATCTGCCTATTGCAGGTCTTTCTTTAGGTCTGAAATGTTATCTAAATTATTAATTAGATATTAATTAATTTATCCAGGCCATAATCAACTCTCAATGGCAAAGGATTTCTCCGATATTAAATAGATTAGAACGGTTCGGCTATATTTTGATTTAATTTAAAAATGGAGGAATGAGACTTAGCTTCGAACAACCAGATGGTGGTTGAAATTATTGTACAAGTCTTGTAAAATCTTCAAAGGCTAATATCTTCGGTCGCAATAGAGTAATTTGAATGAAATTTTCAAATTATTCATTTTACATTATCTATTTTCGAACTATTATAGCAAGAATGACTAGCTCTTTATCTAAATCTTACATAATGTATCTTTAATGATTGAAAAATAGTGTTGCCTATTCGTTTAGACAAGTCGAAAAAAAAACAAACCTGAGATCCATCTATGTACATGGTGTCCATGTGAAAGAACACTTTTACGGTTGCAGTTGGATTTCGATGAAGTGGAGATAAACCTGTCCAGGCAAAATTTTCCTTATAGCACACTGTATGATGTTGCCAGTCTTATTATATCAATTGGTGCAGAAGAGTAGAATATTAAAGAATATGTCATTTCATTTTCAGATCTGCTTTAAGAAACTGGCAGTTTCAGGTATCTACTGATGGTTTAACATGGACAACTATTAAAGAACATTCAGATGATAGTTCTCTTAATGAACCAGGGTAGGTTGTCATCTTATATAATCTTGGGGGTGGATGGTGGTGGGGGATAGTGGTGTAATCTCGGGGGGTGGGGGGATGGGTGATCTAGTGATGTAATCTAGGGGTGGTTGGTGATATAGTGGTGTAATCTTGGGGGGTGGGTGGATTGGTGATCTAGTGATGTAATCTCGGGGTGGATGAGTGATCTAGTGATGTAATCTCGGGGTGGATGAGTGATCTAGTGATGTAATCTCGGGGTGGATGAGTGATCTAGTGATGTAATCTCGGGGTGGATGAGTGATCTAGTGATGTAATCTCGGGGTGGATGAGTGATCTAGTGATGTAATCACCGGATGGATGGGTGATCTAATGATGTAATCTCCAGCTGGATGGGTGATAGCTTGATAGGTCGTCTAGTTGAGAGATCTCTGGTTTGGTTGGATGGTAATCCAGTGGTGTAATCTCGGGGTGATCTTGTGTAATCTCAGCTGGGTGGGTGATCTTGTTCTGTTATCTCAACTGGGTGGGTGATCTATAGGTGTAATCTCATGGTGGGTGGGTGATTTAGTGGTGTAATCCCATTGTGGGTGTTGATTTGATGTTAAATCTCGTGTTAATAATTTTTCCAGTTTTCTAATAAAAGATAAAACTGAAATTTAACTATCTAATAGTTTTTTATAATAAAACATAATTTATTATTTTGTTTTTCTCAGATCTACGGCCACCTGGGTTTTAGATCCCTCTAAAGATGAGACACAGGGATGGAGACATATACGCTTACAACAGACGGGTAAAAACGCTAGTGGACAGACACATTATTTATCATTATCTGGTCTGGAGATTTATGGTACAGTTTCAGGTGTTTGTGATGATATAGGTGAGGACATGAAAATGATGTTCTGTTAGAATAATTCGATGTTTTGGTTATTTTAATTGTTGTTTTGTTATTACTCGAGAACCTCGTTGAGACCTTGGATAAAACTAACCCTAGTTCTACCTCATTGGCACTTGTCAAGAACAAAACAAAATTCTCATTAAAGATATTTTTCAGCATAAAATCTTAAGGAAAACTGCTTTTACACATAAGCTGTAAATAATTATATTTATTGGCATGTGGATTGTATTGACTGACAGGTTAAATTTATCTGCCAGTCAGTCAGCATTGGTACATTCGAGAGAGACAAACTAGGTCATTTCGGGACTAACATATGGTTCAATTTTATTTCAAAAATTTGCTTGCGCGTAGTGGCCGTTAGCAGTGGGAGGAAACCTGAGGACCCGGAGAAAGCCCAGGATGTTGGACAGGCGACCCTACTCCATGTCACGTAGAACAGGGGTATCAAAACTCCGCCAGTTGACTCAATGACAGACCTTATGATACAAAGTGCACGCGCTTACCATTCGACCATGGAACCCCCCTTCAAAACAAGAGCCCTGTTGCAGATGTAGCCATAAAACATAACCACATGTGAGTCTCAAAAATCACCAAAGTGTTGTGTTTACGGGATGACAAGTCCCATTCCTTTCCGTCAATTATTTTTCATGTTCTTTTTTTAGGCAAAGCTGCTCGTGAAGCAGAAGCAACAATCAGACGTCAGAGACGACTTTTACGAACACATGTGTTGAAACAGATGTTACCAGGAGCTCGTGTAGTTAGAGGAATGGATTGGAAATGGCGAGATCAGGACGGAAACGGTGAAGGTCTTGTTACTGGAGAATTACATAATGGTAGTGTATTAGTTGACATTATGGTATTTATATATATCATAGCGACAACTATCACTTCCTGCAGATAAATTCATTATCAGATAAATAACCGCTTCATTTATGCTAAATACACAAGATTAAATGATACCAGGTTTACAGTGCAATCAATCGCTTGCCATGGATAAATTTATTGTGTTATGAGAGAATTAAACAACCGCTTGCCATGGATAAAATAATTGAGTTATCAGAAAACTTATCTCTTTCTACGGATAAATTTATTGAGTTGTCAGATAAATACCCACTTCCCACGGATAAATTAATTGAATTATCAGTTGAACAGCCGCTTCCTGCGGATAAATTAATTGAGTTATCAGATGGACAGCCGCTTCTCAAGGATAAATTATCTCTTGTCTACAGATAAATACTCCTTTCTGACACTCTTTCAATCTCTTCCCTCCCTTTTTTTCCAAGTGGATGAAATTATCGTCAGTTTATGTTGTTTTTTTCGTGTGTTGTAGCTATTTCTTAAAATTGTGATTAATTTGCAGTCAAATTTAGAAACTTTTAAGTTTTCATTACTTGGATCACACTCCACCCCACTCAATGAATCTGTTGCTGTCTAGAATTTCTCAAACGGCCCATGTCACAGCGGTAGTTTCAGGCAGTCTTGGTAGTACATGATTTAAAAAAAATACTCATTTGGCAGGATTTTTCATTTTTACCTGTAATTTAAATGTAATGATAAGTTTTTAAAGTATAATTTAATATTAATTTTGATCTTACAGGTTGGGTTGATGTGACGTGGGATAATGGAGGATCTAACTCTTATCGCATGGGTGCGGAGGGAAAATACGACTTAGCTTTAGCCCCTTCTCACGACCCAGAGAAATTACGGTTTTATAAACCGGAGCAGGGAGCTGTTGGAGGTTTAAAGGGGAGAGCAGGAGCCTCGGTCTCTGATAAAGTCAAGGTTTGTAGTTTAAACAAATTTCTTTTTATTTACTTAAGCTGCTGATTGTCATTAGGATTTTGAATCATTTTCAAACTATAATATTGTGAAAGTTGAATATCTTTATGGAATATTACTCCCGAAATGTTTAATTTTTGCCGTATTTGCCAAAATATGATGAATTAAAAGGCTGAATAAAGTGAGGGTTAAAACTTATTAAATATTCAAGAAAAAGTAGGCGCTTTAAAATTGGAGTAGGATCGTTATGCTCGTACCTCATCTATTGTATTGGTTGGTAGTGATTGAAGTTATATTATAAGTGAGTGTATTCACCTCCCCCTTCCCTGTATCATAGGTCAGTGTATTCATATCCCCGTACTCAATATTATTGGTCAGTGTATCCCTTCTCTTTATTATAGGTCAGTGTTTTCTCCCCCCCCCCCCCTTCTATATCATAGGCCAGTGTTTTCTCCTCCCCCTTCTATATTATAGGCCATTGTTTTCTCCTCCCCCTTCTATATCATAGGCCAGTGTTTTCTCCTCCCCCTTCTATATTATAGGCCATTGTTTTCTCCTCCCCCTTCTATATTATAGGCCAGTGTTTTCTCCTCTATTATTCGACGGTATATTCACCTCCTACATCTCTGTATTATAGGTCAGTGTATTGACCCCAGCCCCTCCCATTTTCTGTATTATTTAACAGTTAATTCACCTCCTACATTTCTGTATTATAGGTCAGTGTATTGACCCCACCCCCTCCCGTCCTCTATATGTTCAGCAGTGTATTATCACTTCCCACATCTCTGTATTATAGGTCAGTGTATTGACCCCACCCCCTCCCGTCCTCTATATGTTCAGCAGTGTATTATCACTTCCCACATCTCTGTATTATAGGTCAGTGTATTGACAAGTCGTAAGAGCAGCTCAACACCTAGTCTAAGTGACGTCAGTGAAACTAAAGCATCGGTTGCCAGCACGGAACAAGCTTCGTCGGCTGAAAATCTCACCTCATCTATCAAAGCTGTAAGTTGTTTGTTTTGTCATTCAATTCTGTTTAATTGTTTGTTTTGTCATTCAATTATGTTTAATTGTTTTGTCCTTCAATACGTATTCAGTTTATTTGTTTTATCCTTCAATACAAATTTAGTTTAATTGTTTTGTCCTTCATTATGTGGAAGTTGGATGACCGAATGGTTAGCATGTGCACATTGTATCATAAGGTCTGTCATTGAGTCAACTGGTGTGGTGTTGATTCCCCGGTTGTACATGATAATAAGTAGGGTCGCCTGTTCAACCTCATGGGTCTTTTCCGCATCCTCCGGTTTCCTTCAACTGCTAAAGACCCCTACGCGCAAGCAAATTATTGAAATAAAATTAAACCATGTGTTAGTCCCAAAATTACCTAGTTTGTGTCGACTGGAGGTTAAAAAACCCAATCTCTCTCTCTCTCTCTCTCTCTCTCTCTCTCTCTCTCTCCCTCCCTTCATTATGCATTCAGTTTTGATGGTTTTGTCCTTCATTATGTATTCAGTTTGATTGAGGTAGATCATTTGATTACCAAGGTCAATCGGAAACTTGTTGATCAAAAAAGGGAATTTTGTCACATGCCCACATCCACTGCCCTCTAACTAAGATGAAATCATTTGTGTAAATTGTTCATTACGCTCAACATTTGTACTTGGCAGGTAGAAAACATAGCAAATGTTTACAGTGTAATTTGTGCAATTTGTCAAAGTACTAAAATTGATACCTTTGTTGGCCACGAAACCCATGTCAGTTGTTGTCCAGGCAAAGTTTCCCTCATAGCACACTGCATGGTGTATGCCTATCTTCATTAACCTGGTAGTTTCATTTCATTATCAGGGAAAACCCATATCAATATTGATCTAAAGTGCATGCGTTAACCCAGTAGCTCTCAACCTTTTTTTGCCATTGGGACACCTTATTTGGAACGCATGAAAAAATAGATGCACACCTGGCTAAATATATATGAAAAATATTTGAATTTTGCAAAATAAAAACATGGTAAGTCAGAATGCATACAACCATAGACAGAGACTACACATAGACGCATAGATTGAATGACTCAAATTAAATAAAGAAAAACACAGCTATGAACTTATCAATAGACACCAGTGGGATCACTAGGTTTTTCGCATTTTATAGTTCAAAATATCACGGCAAACTTAGGAAGATCTCACGGCACACCTGGTTGAGAATCACTGCATTAAACCATTAAATTCCCCAACCCAACTCTGATCAGCAGTTAGAGATAGGTTAATAAAGATATCTATGTTTGTTATTTTTTAGGCGGCGGAATCTGTAGCCGAAAGTATTTTAAATCGAGTGATGGTAACAGTTGATCCAGCTGATGATTCAGACGGAACAGTTACAAGTGGTAGTGAACCTGTTATAGTTCTGCATCGCGGTAACGAAGAATTATCACGAGACAGCCATTTTGGTTTGATGGATTTAGTTAGTGGTGTTGAAAACATGGATTTAGGATCCGTCCCAGAACCAATCCGAGGAGCCGAAGGTGGAGTCCGACCTCCTCATCTAGATAATAAAACAAGATCGGAAGCGAGGAAGAATGACGCCCAGACGAGAAGCTCCCCGACAAATTTAATGAGTGCTAGTGTGCCTAATTTACCTACCAGTATGGAACAGACAGTCAGTCTGCTGGATACATTCGCAGCGGCTGTAGCCAGACGTAATCTGGGAACTAATAACGGGAATAATATTGTACGGAATGCCAATGCTAGCAGTTTAGTGCGTTTAGCTTTATCCAATTCTCCTAGTAAGTAATAAATTATATATTAAATACAATCCCTGTCGTCAATTTTATAACTATGAAGTAGCAGATTATGTAATCTTTAATGATATGTTGATTGAAGGCTAGCCAGTTTAGCTGTCCATGTTGTTAACTCGGAGTGTGACAGTAAATAAACATTAAACACGGAGGGGATCGGGATATATACTGGCTCGAGGACAATTCGTCCCAAGACAATTCGTCCCTGAACAATTCATTCCCGGACAATTCTTATCAGGACCTTTAGTCCCATAGGACTATTCGGCCCCGGACAATTCGGCCCCATGGACAATTTGTCCCCCGGACTATTCTTCCCTTAGGACAATTCGTCCCTAAGGACGATTTGTCCCTGAACACCACTACTGGTAGTTCCATTATCAAAAAGACCCCTACTCGCAAGTGAATTGTTGAAATAAAATTGAATCATATGTTAGATTGAGTAGATGTTAAACTCTCTCTCTCTCTCTCTCTCTCTCTCTCTCTCTCACTCTCTCTCTCTCATTTGATGTGGCTATTAGATATTCATAAGGTCAGATCAAAGTAAGATCGAAGAAAATAAGAGTAATTTTGATTGTTGTTCTCTGGAGAACAAAAGATTAAATTTATTAAGTGCAGCACAGATAATTTTTCCAATGTTTTTTTTTTTTTTTTAATATTATCTATTTATTTTATTTTAGATAATTTATTAAGTGCTGCACAGAGTTATCCTAGTTTAACCAATTCAACAAATGCTACATCTAACACCCTGACCACCACTCAGACCATGGCTAATGTCACATCACTGAGTCAAGCCTTGACCAGAAGTCTCACCTCAACATCTAGTGAAAGCGACAATGAGTTTCTTGAAACGTGTCGTGCGTCGACTTTACTTGGTGAATTAGAAGATGATGAAGAATTACCTGAACCTGATGATGAAGATGATGAGAATGAGGATGAGAATGAAGATGATGAAGATTATGATAATGTGATGGTGAGTGGATGTTTATCTGATTTATCTAAACAAAGGGAGCCACGGTGGCTAAGGGGGTAAGATGCTGGCTCAATAGCCTGGAGGTCGTATGTTCGATCTCTGCATTGGCCAAGAAAGTTAATCGGGATTTTCCGACGTGGTTTCCGCTTGCCAGTGGTGCAGGATGGAGGGCCTGACAAGGACAGCTGTCTTGTCGTTCAGATGGGACGAAAAACCGAGGGCCTGTGTACATTGATGTGCATGTAAAAGATTCCTTGGCAAAATTTCCCTCATAGCACACTGTATGGCATGTATGCCTGTCTTCATTAGCCCAGTAGGAGAAGGACGTTAAACCCCATTTCATTTCATATCTAAACAACTTGGGGGGAGGGGGCATGGTGGATGGTCTAGTGGGTTAACACATGAAATCACAAGGTCTGTCATTGAGTCAAGTGGCATGGTTTCGATTCCCCAATTTAAACATGACAAGGGGTAGGGTCGTCTGTCCAACCTTGTGGGTTTTCTCCGGTTTTACTCCCACTGTTAAAAACCTGTATGTGCAAGTGAATTATTAAAATAAAATTAAACCATATGTTAGTCCCAAAATGACCTTTATTGTGACGAGTGGATGTTAAACCCCACTTCTCTCCCTCTCTTTAGCTGTAATTTTGCCAATCTAGATTGACTAGCAGTGAAATAGACAGGTGTAAATTTTACTTGTCAGTCAGCAATTCATATTTTGTGAAATAAGGAATTTATTTCTTACCTGTGAGAGAGCTGACTCACTAATCAGGAGTTCTGGGGTTTGATCCGGTGTTAGCTGAGAGAGTTTCTCAGATTTTTCAGTGTGGTTTACCCATCTTCATTAGCCCGGATAAAGCAGAAAGGCCGGATGTTAAACCCAGCTTTATTTCATTTTATACTTCTATTAGTTTTTAGCACCTTTATTTTAATCACCTTTACACCTTGTTAGTGTCATTTTTTTTCCTGAAACCCACATTCTATAATATGATCCCACAGTCACCATCTTACATAATGTATCTTAAACATACCTAATAATAACATCCCACCTCCAGCCACTATTAATTACAACTGTCGATCCTTTTCTTATTAGGCTGCAGTTTACCATAACCTAATTAAAACCATTTACATAAGGCAACGAAAAAAAAAATTCTGTTTCTCAGTAACTACTGCATCACTTAAAAAGATAACATGCCCCGTTTTTATTTTAGAAAATAAAGATTAAAACCAGTTTCATTCATTATTGCACATTCATTATGGCCCGCACACATTCATTATCGCATGCACAATCATTTTTCCCCAGTTTAAATGAAACTGGAAATGTACCGAAGGCTCAGTTATTAAGTACACACCTCTGCTACTGGCAATCACAAATGATACTGGATAATCATACGTTTCTACATGTGATGATTTGAAATGTGACATTTGTGATAAGTCAATTAGTCACATGATCCTGTAACAAAATAAAAACTCCCACATCAGATAGTGTTAAACATACATTATGCAAGAGCTAAATCTGCCAATTGCAGGTCTTTCTTTGGGCCTGAAATGTTATCTAAATTATTAATTAGACATTAATTAACTTAGCCAGACCATAATCAACTCTCGATGGCATCGCTAGCCTGTGATATTTACTGGATTAGAAACCGGTCTGCTGCTTCTGATTAAATCAAAAAATGGATAATTAAGACTTATGTTTTTTATCATACAGACTTTAGTAATGATGATTGAGGCTAGGCCGAAAATTCAATCGCTAAATACTTGGTTTAGGGTGGATCAATTTGACTGAAATTTCAGCAAATTCCCGTTAAATTATCTAGTTTTTAACTATTATAGTGAGAACTGCCAGCTCTTTATCTGATCTTCCATAATGTATCTTTAAGGATTGTCTAAGAACCAAATTATTTTTTTTTGTGTGGCCTGATAATAAGATCCTACCCGTTTGTTACCATTAGTTATCAGAGCATGTTATCGTGCATGATTTGATGTGAAACCTGATTTTATTCCAGATCTCGTTACAGGAGGAAGAAGAGATGGAGTCAAGAGATCGTCGAACCTGGGATGACGAACTTGTCTTGAAGCGACAATTCTCAGCCCTTATACCTGCCTTTGATCCCCGACCTGGTCGAACCAACGTAAATCAAACTCAAGATTTTGATATGCCCGCACCAGGTATGTTTATTTATCTTGTTACTAAGCACCATACCGAACTACAAGCTGCGAATCACGATATTTGACAATTCTGATTTGTTGAATTCTTTTTTATAATTCTTAAACATGCATTATGCAAGAGCTAAATCTGCCTATTCTAGGTCTTCTTTTAGGCCTGAAATGTTATATAAATTATTAATTAGACATTAATTAACTTATCAAGACCATAATCAACTCTCGATGGCATCGTTAGGCTGCAATATTTACTGGATTTGAATACATTTTGTGATGGATAATTTAAATGGATAATCAGGACCTTGTTTGTTATCATACCAACTTCAGTAATGAGGAACGAGACTAGCCTAGATTTCAATGGCTAATATCTCGGTTCAGAGTGAAGCAATTTGACTAAAAATTTCAGCATATTTTTTAACTGTAATTGGCTAGAACTCTCAGCTCTTTATGTAATCTTACCTAATGCCCCTATAAATTTGACAGATTTCTGATACAAAAGCTTTTATTACTGGATTATTAGTCTGATTAATAAATAGTCACTTTAGTCTTTTGAACAAAGCCTTGTTTGAAATTTTAAAACATACAAATTAAAATTAAAAGCTTTTGCGAAGAACAACAACGTCTATTTTATTTATTGTTTTATTTATTGTTTTTGTAATTTTAATTGAAATTGATTTTCTCAGAAAAACAAACATTCAAATTGGTATTGCTTAAGTGATGACTTACAATAAGACCACCATGTGGACCACTTTATAGTTATAAAGGGGCCATGGTGGCTCAGTGAATAAAGCGCTAGTTCGGTAACCAGGAGGTCAGGGATTCGATCCCTGTGTTGGCTGACAAAGGTCACCAGAATTTTCCAGCTTGGTTTCCCATTGTCAGTGGTGTAGAATGGAGGACGTAACAAGGACATCATCTAGCCCTCTGAATGGGACAAAAAAGGGAGTATACATTAGCGTGAATGAAAAAGAACCCTTGACAGTTGCAATTCGAAATCAAGAGTAGACTGTAGTGCCACTGTTCCTAAAGAATTTCCCAAACAGCACAGTTCATAACGTAGATCCATGTTCATTATCCCAGTTGGTGCAGAAAAGTAGGACGTTAATCCCGATTTCATTTCATTTATAGATTTAAATCTTTAATAATTGTTCTAACTGTTACAGGAAGTGAAGAATGTTCTTCACCAGAAGTAAAAGAAACAGTATCTCAACCAAGATTAATATTATCATTACGATCTCCATGTCTACCTGGGGTACGTACATTATATGTAAAAGTACATAGAAATATATTTAAGAATTGGGTTAATGGTAAAAATGTCATATTTGAAAAAGTGTCTTGCTAATCAGAGGTAACATAATACATCAACAATTGACCACCTAGAAAATTTTGAAATATATTTAAGAATTGGGAAATGTCGAAGCCTGGATATAAGGTAACTGTCACAGACTTTGTCAAGTACAAATTTTCACACAATGTATATATTGTAAAAAAAAAAATGGGGGAGTTGGGTGGCAGAGTTGTTAACATGTGCGCGTTGCATCATAAGGTATGTTATTGAGTCGAGTGGCGTGGTTTTTATTCCCCGCTTGTATGTGACAAGGAGTATGGTCGTCTGTCTAACTTCTTGGGTTTCCTCCCACTACTGAAGACCCCTATGCGCAAGCAATTGACTGAAACAAAATTGAACCATATGTTAGTCCCGAAATGACCTAGTTTGTGTCGCGTGAACGTTAAACCCCATTTCTCTCTCTCTCACTTACTTAATTCTGTGAATTATATTTTAGATGAATGATGAAGAATTCCAGTTAACAGATGGTAATGCTTGTATATTTAAATATATCCAGACTTTATTATTACAAGGTTCCAGTAGCGGACGAACAGAACGTTTACGTCGGGTCTGGGAACCTACTTATACGTAAGTTTTACTCATTTCAGACACAATCGAATTATTCACAACTTAGTCCTTGCTAATCCTCACCCATCAAAAGAAGTGGGGTTGGATGGCAATCAAAAGATTTTACCCAATAATAATAAATTGTATCTGCTCTGTGAGAAGCTTAGGTAAATTATTGTGATGTGCGAGTAGAAATGTTACGATACAAATAATTGAGTTTTTCAAGAGTGATCCCGACTGAGACATAAATGATATGTCACACATTGGATAACATTGGAACCATTTGAAATCAAAATGGAGGGGGAGGATTATCTTGGATGAGTTTAGATTTGAAGTATGCCTTCAATTGTAGAAAAATGTGTCATTTCTGATTCAGTGTACAGCTTTAATTTGTTTATTTATTATTTGAAGAATGATATTAAATGTCCGTTCCACATATTACAGGATTGTGTATAGAGAATTAAAGGAAGATGGTGAAAAAGATTCAGAAACTCAGAGCATTCGAGTAAGTATGACCATCATTTTATGTTAACATGATATTCATGACCTTAGTGGATATATGAGTTACAGATGTGTTCACTTCTGTTGTCATGGTAAAGAGTGCAGTCTGTCTTCTATTCATACAAAGCTATATAATGAGGATCCAACGTCGTGGGGTTTTCTCAGGGTCCTCTGATTTCCTCCCACTGCTAAAGACCCCTAAACGCAAGCATATTATTGCAATCAAATTGAACCATGTGTTAGTCCCAAAATGATAGTTTGTGTGGAGTGGAGTTAAACACCATTTCAATTCATCATATCTTTGTAAATACTGAACATTTCTAGACTGATATTTGTTTAAATCCCTTTTAGAGAATATTGTAGTTATTATACTTTATTTATTCTAGTCGTCCCAGAGCATGGAGAAATATGTGAATTGGCGAAATGCATTAGGTGATCGTGATGCTGCGAGGAGTATGGACCAATCAACCTGTAGTGTAGAGCATGTATTACAATTATTACAGAGATTATATGCTATAGCACAGGAACAAACAACACCTAGTAAACGTAATGGTTAGTATCTTAATCCTCTGTGAGCCCACTCCTATCTGATATTAGAATATACTGGAACCTCACTAATAGGTGGTTCCCAGTTTTAACAAAGTAATGGTTAGTATTTTAATGCTCTGTGGGCCCCCTCCTATCTGATATTAGAGTGGTATTACATTATATACTGGAAGCTCATTAATAGGTGGTTCCCAGTTTAAATAAAGCAATGTTTAGTAGCATAATCCTCTGTGGGCCCCCTCCTATCTGAGTTGTTTTACATAATACACCAGGACCTCACTAAAATGTAATTGTTAGTAGTATAATCCTCTATGGGCCCCCTCCTTTCAGATACTTGAGTGATAAAACATTACGCATAAGCAACCTATAATATTTTTGTAATGTTTATTTCAGATGGAAGTGATGTACTGTTGAACATTCCAATAGATGAATTTATCAGTAAAAAAATCACCAATAAGGTTGTTCAACAGATTCAAGATCCGTTAGTTTTAGCCAGTCATTCCCTACCTGAGTGGTGTGAACATCTAACACGATGGTGTCCGATGGTATTCCCATTCGATACACGACAGCTCTACTTTATCTGTACAGCTTTCGGAACATCAAGGTATTTATATTAAATCTTTTACCTGTACTGCTAAATAAGCATACATGTAATAAGTGAGCGTTTAGGGCTTTGTAATCTCACCCAGAATGTTCCCGATTTGAATCCCGATGTTGGACCAGGCCTCGAGTTCACAAAGCATTCTCAGACTTAAGTTATGAATTTACTCAAAATTGTTTGCCTTGTCTTAACTAAAATATAGTCCTTTATACAACTTTTGTTGTTTTAATGTATCAAATACATTAATAAGAAACTATGTACAAAGGTTTGTGTTTCTGGATCAAAAATGTTTCTCAAAGAGTTATTGAAAGTTGAGTAAATTCTTAACCTAAGCCTAAGAATGCTTTGCTAACTTGGGACCAGAATAACCTTCAGTATTTTTAAAGTCTGGCTTTTACTTATCATGTACCATATCTTAGTCCCCAAATGATCCATTTATTTCGCTAGAATCCCAGTCTACTTAATAGAACTTTTGCGAGATACGGTTACAGGTTCTATATAAAAAAAACGTTTGAAGCCAAAAGTGTGACAGGCTCATTTATCAAGTACGCAACCCTGATAAATGTTACTTACAATCTTAAATGATACTGGATAATCATACATTCCTATAAACAACACGATGAGACAACTGAAGAGCCTTGAAATGTGATGTTTGTGGCAAGGCAATTAGCCACATGATCCTTTTACAAAATAATTTAAAAAGTTAATAATTTCGGGACTAACATATGGTTCAATTTTATTTCAATAATTGCTTGCAGTAGAGCTCTTTAGCAGTGGGAGAAAACCCGAGGACCCATAGAAAACCCGAGGTTGGACAGGCGGCCCTACTCCTTGTCACATGCAACCGAGGAATTGAAACTACGCCAGTTGACTCAATGACAGACCTTATGATACAATTCGCACATGCCAACCAATCGGCCCCCCACCCCCTATAACATCAGATTTTTGTTCTGGATATTTTTCAGAAATCCAGCGTATTTTTTTTTTTTGTATGCCCTTATTTTTTATTTTTATTTATTTGTATATTACCAGGTCTATAGTATGGTTACAGAATAAACGTGATGCATCAATAGATCGTATCAGAAGTCCCGTACCACGTCGAGATGAAGGACATGAGTTCCGCGTGGGTCGATTAAAACATGAACGTGTTAAAGTACCACGAGGTGATGAGTTATTAGGTTGGGCTATGCAAGTCATGAAACATCATGGAAAGAGAAAGGCTGTACTTGAGGTTCGTAGTTTTATCACAGACATGGGGTTAATTACATTGCAATGCGACATTAGATTACAATTACATTTGTCATACTAAACTTAGGGTGCCTGTCTACAGTTAGATCCACTTGAGAACACACACTAAGCTAGTTGACCAACATTTTAAGTCCTAAATTGACGATTTTAGTCGATAATACTAAGTATTCTTTGAGAATTTAAAGATGTATTTATTCTGCTTGAATTTATTGGAATTGAATAGGTTTATTTAGTCTTTGTGTGTGAAATGGAGTAGTACCGCATTACAAAACAGTATGCTTATTTTTGGATATGGCAGCCATTCAGAACAGAGATTTATTCTCGAATTATGAAGTAGATGAATCTCTGTACAGGATGTTACTTTTATATTTGTATGATTACAATTACATTATGATATACACCATTCATTACATGCCATAGGAGAAGGTAGTACTAAGTAGATGTCTTCACCAGTGGCAGAGTGTACAGAACATGAAAAATGTGCTTAGTCGTAGGGATGGGAGAAAAAAATCAAGGTCCATCCATGTACATATTGGCATGCATGTCAAAGAACCCTTATCAGTTTGAATTCAAAGAAAAATAAACAGAAATACTGTTCTCTCCCTCGCATTGCACACATAAACATAAAAATTAATATTATTGTATATTCACTATGTAAGACTAGAGCTAAATCTGCCTATTGTAGATCTTTCTTTAGGCCTGAAATGTTATATAAACTATTAATTAGACATTTATTAACAAAACAAGACCATAATCGACTCTCGATGGCATCAGATACTCAAGATTTTAACTAGATTAAAACAGTTCGCCATTTAAAAATTTAATTTAAAAATGGGAAAGTGAGGCTAAGTCCCGATTATACCAATGCCCTGGTTACCACTGTGCACACATCTTGTAAAAACTACAAACAATGATAACTTGGCTGAGAATGAAGTAATTTGAATGAAATTTTCAATATTTTCTTTTTTTATCATCTATTTTTGAATTATGATAGCTAGAATGATCAACTCTTTATTAAACTCTTAAATAATGTATCTTTAATATGAATATTATTGTATGTTGCTATAAATATTATTGTATGTTAATACGACAATGCTTGAAGTATTGTGTTGTGAAGACATTAATAACCATTTCATTCCATTCACCATTAATTTCTGATGAAACATGTTTTTTTGTTATTCTAGATTGAGTTCCAGAGTGAAGAAGGAACAGGTTTAGGCCCAACTTTAGAATTTTACGCCCTTGTTGCAGCTGAATTACAGAAGAAATCTCTTGGTCTCTGGTTGTGTGATGACACCATTCCTGATAAATATGAACGAGAGGTACGAACAAATATGTCTTTCTCATAAAACAATTTGACTAGAACAGTTGACTAGAACAGTGTGTCGAGTTATTTGGATGTGATGAAAATTTAGTATTGCATGTATAAGGATCCATTGACAGTTTAAAGTTAGAGATGAATAGAGAGTTCTCTACCCATAGTGTGTAATATATAAGGTTTTCACTATATTAACATGGGTGTAGTCAGTAGATACCAACATCAGTTTTAGTGTATAATATATAAGTATAATAGTGTATATTATAAAAGGTTCTCTCTATAACATTTATATAGTCAATGGATACCAACATCAGTATTATATAAAAGGTTCTATCTATAATATGTGTGTAGTCAATGGATATCTACATCAGTATTATATTGGAGCTGTTTTTATACAAGATATTTAATGGTGCTATTTATGTTGTATTTAGTGCAGTATTTAATGATGACACTGACAATTAATTAAGGATATATAAGCGTCATGCCATATAATCATGAATGTAGATGGTGGATACATTGGTGTTATGCACACTTCAATATTATGACTTATTTACTGAGTGACGTTTCAACTTGTCTTCTGTAGCCTTTATCAAGCGAAATATTCAGACTAGAGAAGCCTAGTTTAAAACATCGCTCAGTAATAAGCAGTATGTATTCCAAAGAATTGTGACCTGTATATTCCAGTTCAATTACCAAATGCCATAGAAATGCTAAAGTAAAAATAATGACCTTTACTTGCCCACCTTATAATTTGTAAATTTTATTTCAGATTGATATTGGTCATGGTGTTAAACCACAAGGATATTACGTTCAGAGAATCGGGGGACTATTCCCAGCCCCGTTACAGCAGGAAAGTCCGGACATGGAACGTGTGGAAAGACATTTCCATTTCCTCGGAACTCTTCTAGCAAAATGTTTACAAGATAACCGCCTTATTGATCTGCCTCTGTCTCGTCCCTTTCTTAAATTACTGTGTCTTGGAGACGTTGGACAAAATATAACGAAACAGAACCGGGATCTTTCTCATCGCGGTCTGAGTGGCATGTTAGAATCGTGGCACAGCGAATCAAGCGATATGATCACAAGTATCGAGGAATCAGAGAAAGAGATGAGAATGGATCGATCTCGCATCAGCATGACTCAGGCGTGGTATCATGGCGTCCTCACAGACGAAGATTTTGAATTGGTGGATCAGCATAGAGCTACGTTTTTACGACAACTACGAGAATTGGCCGCTAAGAAACAGAGAATATTGAAAGACCGAAGTATATCCGAAGATCAGAAGAATATTTTATTAGAAGAATTATGTTTACCTGGTACGGATGATCACCCCATGCTCGTTAGATTGGAGGATTTGGGGTATGTTCATTTCTTATATATATACCAGTTAAATTAGAAATGAAATGAAATGGGGTTTAACTTCCTACTATTATGCTCCTATACTGGGCTAATGAAGACGGGCATACCCGATACAGTGTGCTATGAGGGAAATTTTGCCCGGTCAGCGGCACAATGGCCTACTCTTATATCAAATTCCAACTGCCAAGGGATCTTTTACATGGACGCCAATGTATACACAGGACCTCAGTTTTTCGATTCAACTGAACGACTAGACAGCTGTCCCTGTCAGGTCCTCCGTCCTGCACCACTGACATGGGGAAACCACAGCGGAAAATCCCAATGAACTTTCATTCATCCAATGATCTTTTTAAGATCTTTTTGTGTAGTGAAATGAATTTTCCCAATTTTATTTTAATCCATTTTTTTTTTCTTTTTGTATAGTTTAACATTCCAGTTTAACCCATCATCTAAAGTTTATGGTTTTATGTCACATGATCTCAAAATAAATGGAGAAAACGAGGTAATTATCAGTTTTATTATTATTATCACTAGATCTGCTGGTTCATTCATATTTACCAGTTGTGACTGACTGACACTGTTCATTGACCAGCTTTAGAAATTACAAAATGAAATGAAATGAAATGTGGTTTAACGTCCTACTGTTCTGCTCTGACTGGGCTAATGAAGACGATCATATGCCATACAGTGTACTGTGAGGGACGTTTTGCCCGGACAGCGGTGCTAAGGCCCACTCATATCGAATTCCAATTGCCAAAGGATCTTTTACGTGCACACCAATGTGTACACAGGACCTCGGTTTTTCGTCCCATCCAAAGGACTTGTCAGTCAATTAAAATGCCATAGAATTAGAATTGTAAAGAATCAATGCTTAAATCACAATAAATACTATTAAATTTATAGTTTCTATATGTAGAAAGACCTTTAAAACAAATAAACAAAAATGGAAAAATCCTAGAAATTAAAGTCACCTTATGAAACTGACGAAGAAACAAATGACAAAATGAAATGAAGTTTACATTCATCGTTTTATTCCAAATGATCGTTAGACTAAGTAAGGCACAGACTGACCATTATAAGGGTAAAATGATACCCGGGGTCAAACAGCAAAGTTACCACAGCATCACAACCAAGTCAGTAACGGGTAAATCCTCCTCTGTTTGCCAAACAAGCATTGATCCGACGTGGCATACTCCTAATGAGACGTCTAAGGTCATTTTGGTCCAGATTGTCCCATTCCTGTTGCAACGCAGCAGCAAGTTCTTGGACATTGGCAGGACGTTGTTGATGTTGACGTAACCTCTGTCCAAGCATGTCCCAGACATGCTCGATGGGGGAGAGGTCGGGACTCAGTGCTGGCCAAGGTAATGTGGTGATGTTCTGTTGTTGGAGGTAACCTGTAACGATCCTGGCCCTGTGACATCTTGCGTTGTCGATCATGTCTGATGACGTTAACGTCTTGGAAGCGCTCGTTTCGACGACGCCACACCCTCCTACGTCTGTCCAAAAAATCAACAGTGAACCTTGACTCATCTGAAAACATCACATTGCTCCAGCGTCGATTATCCCAGTGTTGACGATCCCTACACCAACGACGTCTTGCCTGAATGTGATGATCTCTCAAACAAGGGATCACGCGAGGACGTCGGGCGCGAAGGTGACCCCTATGCAGTCGATTCCGAATCGTCTGGCCACTCACTCTCACACCAGTGTCTGTTTGAAGACGAGCGCTGATCTGATTTGCTGTGATGACACGTTTTCTCAAGGCCAAGGTACGGATAAATCGATCCTGGGCTTGAGTTGTCGCCCTTGGTCGACCTGAGCGTGGTCTGTCCTGTACAGATTGTGTATCACGGTATCTGGACCATAGCCTGCTTATGACAGACTGAGAAACATTCATCGTCCGCGCCACAACCGCCTGTGTTGTGCCGATCTGTAGCATGCCAAGGGCACGTAACCTTTCATTTTGGGTAAGCCGACGCATATCAAAATTTGTTTTCTGGTCACTAAAACAATTAAACTGATGTTTCCACCCTGGAATTCAATGCCACAATGACTGTAACATTCAAAGTCAGAGTCGTGCAAATCTTGGGTTGGACCCCCATGATGATCCCAAGCATCACCTGCATTCCATGCGGTAGCTATTGGTGCGTTTGGGCGTCACATGTAACTGGAAATGTTTCTTCTGTTAGGTTCTAAAGTGACTTTTTTCGTAGTCATTTGCATATTTTAGTATTATGCCCCCAAAATCAAATATCCCCTACTTTTTTTGAATAGTATATTTTACTAATTATGTCAAAAAAAATTGACCAGCTGGTAAGATATTGAAATGAAACCTTGGTTTAAACTAAGAGGGAACTTGATTTCGAGTCAGCAACACAAGAGTTGCAATGGATTGACTTAAGCTTAAATATTTGGTGACTTTCTCGAAATACATTTAATTATTTAGACGACTTTGATTTTTATAAAATTGAGTTGTATTTTTTTTTTTTTTTTGTATAACTTTGACCATATGTATGAAAATCAATGTTTATTGTGAATATTGAGAATAAAATAATAATTATTGTTTTTGCAGGAAGTAACTCTGGATAATATTGAGGAATATATTGATCTAGTCACAGATTTCTGTCTCTCTAGTGGTATTAGACGACAAATGGAGGCTTTTAAAGGTAAAAAGATATTTTTTAAATAACTACTAAAAAATAAAAAACTATCTGAAAAATGATAATGTTAAAGTCATAGATAAATAGATATACAGGAATTTTTAATGACAATAAAATATATAATAATCTGCCAAACAGAGACTAGTCTTGGGTGTAAATTAGTTTACAATATCTGGCCCAACATTATTTCTGTCAGGGGTAAAATGGTTGTGTATAGACTACAGAATAATGGACTCACAACACTTCAATGTGGGGATGTATGTCTTTCAAGGAAAGCTTTTTGGATGTGTAGCTTTTAAGACCAAATGTTCATATTAGTAACAAAGGGGCCACAGTGGCTCAGTGAGTAAGACGTTGGCTCACTAACCTGGAGGTCACATGTTCAATCCCAGTGAACTTTCATTTTTAACACATACATACAATGTCCTAGAGTTGTGCCTGTGTAAACAAAAAGAACCCTTGACAGTTTAAATTCCAAGGCGAGTAGAGCAAACATCGCTGTCAGACAAAAATCTTACCCTCACAATGAACACGTAACCATAAGAAATAAAATGAATTTGTTAGTCTCAACTATGTATGTTGTTCTTAAGATTGTAAATCACATTCAATTCTGAGTAAAAAAAAATGTCCATATCAGCTTTCTTTTCTAACAACTTAAATAGTTTATAGTAAAATTAATATTTTTGAATTGTGTATTTTATAGCTGGATTTGATGTAGTTTTACCGTTAGCAAAGTTACATGCCTTCAGTGCTGGAGAGTTATCTACTATGTTATGTGGTGAACAGGCTCCCACGTGGACTAAAGAAGATATTATCAACTATACCGACCCTAAGTTAGGTTACACACGAGAAAGGTAAGTCGTCTATCAGCATTTTATAACTATTCAACACTACCTTAAAAGAAATGAAATGAAATAGGTTTAACTTCCTACTTTTCTGCTCCAACTGGGCAGACTTCATACAATGTGCTGTGAGGGAAATTTTGCCTGGGCAGCGGCACTATAGACTATTTTTTTATCGAATTCCAACTGCCAATGGATCTTTTACGTGGATGCCAATGTATACACAGGACCTCAGTTTTTTGTACTATCCGAACGACTAGACAGCTGTGGATATCCAACTAGAAACATCAACGCTGATGGGTTAATCAAATGTCTGACATCATAGGGTCAAAAGCCGCTCTTATGACCCCTGACGCGATCAGATCTTCATGTAGTGTGGGGGGTTGGATGGCTGAATGGTTAGCGTGCGCGCGCTGTATCATACCGTCTGTCATTGAGTCGACTGGCGTGGTTTCGAATCCCCGGTTGTACGTGACAAGGAGTAGGGTCGCCTGTCCAACCCCGTGGGTTTTCTCCGGGTCCTCCGGTTTCCTCCCACTGCTAAAGACCCCTATGCGCAAGCGAATTATTGAAATAAAATTGAACCATGTGTTAGTCCCGAAATGACCTAGTTTGTGTCGAGTGGACGTTAAACCCCATTTCTCTCTCTCTCTTTCATGTAGTGTGGACCATCGAAAGTATAAAAAAATAAACGAAATGAAATATAGATCTGTTATTTAATCAGATTGTGTTTGCAAGGGATGAAAAAGATTTCAAATGATGCTCCAAGACTTTAAAACTTAATGTTTTCCTTTTATTTCAGTCCTGGATTTCAGAGATTGGTCAATGTTTTAGTAAGTCTTTCACCAGATCAACGAAAAGCTTTTCTACAGTTTGCTACTGGATGTTCTTCCCTGCCACCAGGGGGACTTGCTAACCTTCATCCCAGATTAACAGTCGTTCGTAAAGTAGACGGAAACGACAGTAGTTACCCTTCCGTTAATACCTGTGTTCATTATCTTAAACTTCCCGAATATTCATCAGAAGATATTTTACAAGAAAGACTTTTAGCAGCGACGAAGGAGAAGGGTTTCCATCTAAATTAAATGGAAGAAATATCTTCAAGCGTCCAGACATCTAGCTGACGAGAAGTTAGACGTCTTTTCTCTCATTGACCATCCATAGAAGTTGCAGACTTCTAGTTGAAATGGAATACGATTTTTTGCAAGCAATTAAAGAGATAAGTTATTTGCCGTGATAATTTAAGACTTTTAGAGTTAATAAAACTCTGATTTTAAGGAAATTTCCGATTGATGTCCGATTTCGTCATTATGACAAGTTTCAAATAAAGTTTACGATCAATCTTCGAGATATTTGAACTATATTTGACAACTTGTTTAGGAGACGGAACATGAAATCAGTTGATGTAAAGTTGACGTAAAGGTCGATTATAAGACCTAATTGTGATACAAGCCTGTGCCCTATATGCGGCACATTTGATTTAAGATATTCGATAACTGTGCCACTTTTTAAGTTATATTTGCATTTAAATGCGTATATATATATATATAATAATAATAATATTGGACTATGTTTTTTTTTCTATTGATACATAATTATGCTGCCTATATAAAGATGTTATAAATAATGTTTGTACTTATTTATCTGTTCTGAGTGGTTTTAAATATTATTGGGTTTTTGATTGCAAATTAGGTGTGATTTTACTGCAAATGACTTTTTTTGTTTTGTTCTCTCTTGGAGAATTCATGCTTTAGGCTAATATTATCATGTCTTTATTTATTTGTCTTGTCTTCGTAATATTTTGTATCCGTCTGAACGGTTGTGTTATTAATCTCATAAATCTTTATGGTATTAATAATTGAAAGTATTCTTAAAGTCTCTGGGCGTAACTTGAATTTTCCAGATGTAACTTCCCACCGCTTAATGCATGCTAAAATGTACTCAAATTGATTTTTTATTTTCTTATTTAAAGATACATTATTTGAGATGGCATTTCTCACTATAATAGTTAAAAACTAAATAATGTAAAGAGAATTTACTGAAAATTTCAGTCAAATTGATCCACTCTGAACCGAGAATTTAGGAATTGATTTTTGGGCCTAGCCTCGATCATCATTACTGAAGTCGATTTGATAAAATACATAGTCTGGATTATCCATTTCTTGATTTAATTATGAATGAGCGTAGAACAGCAAGTCGGATCCTAATATTGCAGGCTAGGGATGACATCGAGAGTTGATTATGGTCTGGATATGTTAATTAATGGCTAATTAATAATTTTTAAAGACCTGCTAAGTCAGATATAGCTCTTGCATAATGTATGTTTAATTAATCATTTTAAGTACATTTGAGCAATTTGAACGGCAGATAATCTCACTGCTCATCAATAGATGGTAGCGAACATTATAGGTGACACTGGGTTTCGACAATATCAAATGTAAATACTAAACGGAGCGAAACGGAACCGTTTTTGGATTCATCAATCTCTCAGATGATGTGCACAAGACATTTTATTTATTAAAAATGTTGATAACTTAGGCCTTGCAGGTATATTTCAATCATTGTAATAATTTAAGAATTTGTAGAAGCTTTGTTTATTTTAAAGGTACTGTACACATAGATGGATATGAAATATCTATTTGTTTAAATATAGTTGTTGAATATTAGCCGTGTAACAGGTGTTTGCGTTGAAATTATACATATAAGGACTTGGCTTTGTCAATACTCGCGGTACAATAGGATGTCACTATAGCACAGTTTACTACACACGTGCAGAGGTTCTGTGATGCCTGGTGCCCCCAAGACTCAAGTACTAGTACTCAGTAAGAAAGGATGATATTTTAAATATGTCTGAACAGAAGAAATAAACTGTTACGTAAGGGCAGCCAGCTTGCTTGTACAGCAAAGTTGACAGCTGTAATTTCAAATTTAAACAAATTTGATTGGATGTCCCCTTTGAAATGTACGCCCAGGGCCACACCCGCCTCTCTGCATGCCACTCCTTATATAGTGTTATGTTAGGACACTTGTGTAGATTATACAGTGTTTATAGTGAAGTCCTTGTGTATATTACCAATCTGTAAATTCTGCTTTTGTTAAATAAATCAACTATGTATCATGTGACGGTTAACAATCCCATTCATAAAATTCAAATTATATCATTTTTATACCCTTTGTTTTTTACATTTAATTGTATTCATTTCTTGAAACTTCAATACATTTTTCCTTCATTTGTGGACTTTGTCTAAATTGAGGAACATTATTTCATTATGTCTATTTTTAGGGGGTTGGGGAGGAGATAAGGTTGGTTGGGGAGTTGAGTTTTTTTTCTATACGGAAATTCATGTCATGATTTCTGGGATAGAGTTGATAAAACTTGTAATGTCCTAATACGGAGCCTGGGAATTTCGAACCCACACAACTGGCTTAAAAATAGACTATATACATTACACCACAAGTTTTCAAAACATTATCCAGAGTTATCCACCCTTTTGATTAGGTTGTCGTAGGGTTAGTTAAAGGTGAAATTTTCCAGTGTGACAAACAGTAATCTAAAGGGGAAGATAACTCTTGTATTAGCTTCATTTCCCAATCTCTTTTATAGATTTTATACACATATATTTTATAGATGTTTCTATTCATTTTCATTATTCTTACAGGTTATCATATTACAATTAAAGTCATTGAATTCAACTGCTTAAATAAGAGTTATGCCCCTTTATTGTCTGGAAAAAATGTCTGACAAGAAAAATTTGGAAATGGCTACAATGTTCTATATGCTGACCAGAGTTGAGCCATTTTTGGACAGATATTTGAGCTGATATTTTCCATCGAGTTTCACAATATTTTAATTTGCGAGGGACTCTAAATCCCCCAAATTACGATCAATGGCTTTAAAGAAGTAAGGCTGTATAATATATTAAAGGAGGATGGCAGACTACAATCCCAGCAATCCCAATATTATTGAATGTCCCTAGAACTGTTTTTCTATGCAGTGATTATTTCTGTGAAGACTATGTAAATCTAATGATAACGGGACATTTCTGTCGACACATCAATTTATCTGTTTACATGTTGGCATGGCGATATATATATGTATATGATTTTCTTTGTCAGGAAAATTGTTGAATTAGGATTAGGAAATATAATTTAATGATAATGTCATTTCATTGGCTGAAAACTCATTAACGATTTATTTAGCCAATAGAATAACAATATCATCAGTAGTTTTTGCACAAAGTTTTTCATTCATCAGTTTGTAAATAAAATTGATGTGTGGACATAAAGACCCGGGCCCATTCACAAAAACTTAAGATAAAGTATGTTAAGAATGCTGTCTTTTCAGTGGCTAATAAAAGCCAAAGGATTTTTACAATAAACCAATGGAAAGACTTCATCTTTAATATATTTTAGATTTAATTTTTCCTGAATAAGCCCAGTGTTTATAACTAGATATATATTTAATAATGTTTGTGTGTGAGAATATATATGTATATGTGAAGTGTGAATGAGAACAAGAGTGACGATACTAGGATTTTAGACAAACCTAGATAAAAATCGTAAATAATATCTATATATGTTCTTTTAGCTAAATAAAGAACTTAAAAATAATAGTTAGACTTGGTTTTTTTTGTTTAGTCTTTCCAAAGTTACAGAAGCCACGGTGGATCAGTGATTATAAGGTCCCAGGTTTGATTGATCTCTGTGGTGGCTGAGAAAGTTCCTCTGGGTTTCTCCAGTGGTGCAGGACAGAGGGTTTGTCAATGAAAATGAAATGGGGTTTAATGTCCTACTGTTTTGCATCAACCTGGCTAATGAAGCCAGGGCATACGCCATGCATTGTGCTATAAGGGAAATTTTGTCTCTAGACATGCAGGACAGAAAATCTTCCGAGGAAAAGCTAGTCATTAGAAATATTCAGACGGAACGGAAAATCAAGGTATTATGGATACCATTGGCAGCTTTTCGAAGATTCCCAGACAGAAATCAAGAAAAATGGAATAAAATAAGGTTTAACATCTGAATCATGTTAGTCCCAAAATGACCCAGCTTGTGTCAGTGGACATTTAACCCCATTTCTCTCTCTCCCTTATTCACTGGGCTGCCTGGTAGCACACTGCATGGGATATATACCCATCTTGATTAGCATAGTTTGTAAAGAAAAGTAAGATGTTAAAACACGGTTCATTTTCTTCAATTCTCACTGTTGATTAAGAAATATCATGGATTTTCAGACTGTTCCCCTAGGCATTCGGATGTGATAAAATACTAAGCACCTGTGTATTGACAAGTTACAGAGAGACACACACGCAAACTAGGTCATTTTGGGACTAACATATGGTTTAATTTTATTTCAATAATTTGCTTGCGCATAGGGGTCTTTAGCAGTGGGAGGACCCAGAGGAAACCCACGAGGTTGGAATGTACTTTAGATCATAAGATCTATCTTGAGTCAAGTGGCATGGTTTCGATCCCACACTTATACATGACAAGGAGTAACCTTGTGGGTCCCCTGCTTTCTCCCACTGCTAAAGACCCCTACATGCAAGCAAATTATTGAAATGAAAGTGTAGCCTACCATGTGTTATTCCCCAAATGAACGTTAAACCCCATTTCTCTCTCTCTATATATAACTTCATTTCACCAATCTAGTCAAAGTTATTTTTATCGGAAAAGTGAAAAGATACATGGATTCAAAGATAGGTTGCCAGGCAACGAAACATACGCCCACAGCAGCTATATCGTCCGGGCAGTCAACTTCTTTCGGTAATGAAACATTTATAATACACTAAAATCTGATTAAGAGTAACAACTCATGAAGTAATTATCAGAAAACCATTAGAATTTGTTTGGTTTTTATAAAGTTCTGCCCCATGCTAATGTTTAGTATACAAAACTTTTAATATCTTGGATGAAGTCAACTCTAGCAGTAATTATCGGAAATCGCTGAAAACCAATAGGCTTCTTCGTCTCATGACCTTAAACACTGTGTATAAATTTAAAGTCAATCGGATATTAACTTTGGCCTTTAGAGCGTCCACAAGATTTTTTGAAGTGATCAAGGGCCATAACTCTGGCAGTAATTATTGAAAATCGCTGAAATTGAATAGACGTCTTTGTCTCATGACCTTAAACACTGTGTATAAATTTAAAGTCAATCGGATATTAACTTTAGCCTCTAGAGCGTCCATAAGATTTTTCAAAGTGATCAAGGGCCATAACTCTGGCAGTAATTATCTGAAATCACTGAAAATCAATAGGCTTCATCGTCTCATGACCTTAAACACTGTGTATAAATTTAAAGTCAATTGGATATTAACTTTGACCTGTAGAGCGTCCACAAGATTTTTTAAAGTGATCAAGGGCCATAACTCTGGCGGTAATTATCGGGAATCGCTGAAAATCAATACGCTTCTTCGTCTCATGACCTTAAACACTGTGTATAAATTTCAAGTCAATCAGATATTAACTTTGGCCTGTAGAGCATCCACAAGATTTTTTGAAGTGATCAAGGGCCATAACTCTGGCAATAATTATCGTAAATCGCTGAAAATCAATAGGCTTCTTCGTCTCATGACCTTAAACACTGTGTATAAATTTAAAGTCAATCGGATATTAACTTTGGCCTTTAGAGCGTCCACAAGATTTTTTGAAGTGATCAAGGGCTATAACTCTGGCAGTAATTATCAGAAATCGCTGAAAATCAATAGGCTTCTTCGTCTCATGACCTTAAACACTGTGTATTAATTTAAAGTCAATCGGATATTAACTTTAGCCTCTAGAGCGTCCACAAGCAATGTGGGCGTATAAAAACCAAGGACATGGGCAACTGGATATGCAACAGAAAAAAACAAGATATTTTAATAATAATTTTATATTTATTGATAAATATTAAATAATTATGCACAATTCTTACATCAATATAATAATAATAATAATATATATACATCATACAATAGTCATAACAAACTAACAGACCAATCTTACCTCAGGATATAAGCAAGATACCCTTTTTCTAAGTAAATTATTTGGTACCCCACATAGCTAAATAATTCAATTTGAAAATATAAAATATGGAAGCCAATTTCAAATTGTTTGTGATGCAACTGTTATTAAACCAGGACAGAGCCTAATCATTCATGTATATATGCCTGTCTTCATACAGAAAGTAGGACATTCAACCCCATTTCATTTATTCATTGTTAAACCAGGGATTTTAATTTTGCCTAATTTAGAATTATTACATACTTTTACACATGAAAACTGTTTTAAGGTTAAATTCTTCGAAATTCTAAATTAGGAAAGTTATCCAGCCATTTAAATTCACTGCTATTCAGTCAAAACCAATGACTGGACATACAACAGGCAATTCTAATTTAGGAAAGTTAGTCCGCTGTTTAAAATTCACCACCATTCAGTAAAAACCAGTGATTGAAATGAGAGTCTGATAAATGTTACTGGACAAGGAACAGGTAATTCTAATTTATCGCACCTGACAGGCTACTGTCGGCTACCAATGACTAGATCACTGTCGGCTACCGATGACTAGATCACTGTCGGCTACCAATGACTAGATGAGATATAATAATTAATACTGACCGACATATTGGGAAGACATTTTTGAATTAATAACATAATTAAATTTAACTGTTACTGAGAAAGTGCCAAGAAATATGAATAAACATAATACTTAGGCAATATGTACAGGACTGCAGTACAATACTTATGATACCTTGACTGTGTTAGTGGACCTTGTGTCTTATTACCTTGACTGTGTTAGTGGACCTTGTGTTTGTTATAATACCTTGACTATGTACAATACTTATATCATTTTATGAAACAAGTCCTGATACCTTGACTGTGTTAGTGGACCTTGTGTCGTATTACTCTGACTGTTAGTGGGCTATTTGTGTGTCTTAAAATACTTTGACTATGTTAGTGAACCATATGTTATAATACCATGACTGTATTATAAGGCTGCTATTAGCATACTTTATCAACATAGCTACCAGTGACTAGATGAGATCTGCTAGTTAATACTGACAGAGATAGGAAGACATTTTTAAATTAATCACATAAAATTAACTGTCAACAGAAAAACATTTTCAAAATGATGTCAACTAAAATTTTCACTGAGAAAGTGCTAAGAAATATACATAAGGAATAATATTTACGGCATTATGTTTGGCAATCATGTATATGTACATAACTTATGCGATAAACCAAACACAAATATCTTGACTGCCTTAGTGGACTATGCATTATGATACATTGACTTGTGGATTGTGTAGTGTGTATGATTGCTAGACTGTATTACTGGCTGATATGTTATGATACCATGACAATGTAAGTGGACCTTGTGTTATAATACCTTAACTGAGTTATTATATTTCGAATATGTTAATTGAATTTGTGTTATGATACTTTGACCGTGTTAGTGGACATTGTATGTCAGACTCATGAATATTCAATAGACTTGTATAACCCACATGCAGTGAGAGAGCATCTCGGTCCTTATGTTGAAGATTATCACTTTTATGTATGTAACCATGAAAAACCAACCTCGTCTGATAACTTAATAAAGAATATATAATTATAGTTAGCCTTCATTTAACATTGTGTTATAATACCTTGACTATGTTAGTGGACCATATGTTATGATACTTTGACTGTGTTAGCTGGTTTATTTTTATAATAATGTGTTAAATTTATGATTTAAGATAGAAATTCTGGAGATATAGGTAGCACCACTTTAATCACAATCAAATATCACTTGTCTCTCTTGGATTTCCTTAAAATTTTTAGGAAAGGAAATCTGCGTTTTTTCTTTTTTCTTGGTAACGATGCATCGATAATGCTCTCTGTTCCCTCGTAAGCTGGGTTAATAAACCCTGTTTCTAGCGTCCCTTTGAAACCCGTCGTCGAAAGACTTAAAGGAGGAAGATTAAAATCTTGGTCCAACTCCTCCGTAAAACTCTGTTCACAGAATGTGTCCTTAGAAATATTCACATTAACCTCCGGTAGAGTGTTCGGTAAAACGTACAACGGATCCTCACCAAAACTTTGATGCTGAAGGTCAATAATTTGATTATTTGATAAAGGTGAAATATCACCAAGTTTGTGATTCTCAGATATGAATATTTCGTTATCGTTCGGCACGAACATCACAGATTTTTCGATATCCAACGTTTTCGAGTTTTTTCCATTTTTCCATTTTTCTTTTTTCTTGGCTTTACGATGTAAATAATTATAGTCGATGTACATCTGTGTATCCAGGCAATATTTACAACTGAAAATAAAAAAAATTGAAATATTATTATTGGCTGAAAACATGCTTTGACATAAAACAGTCTATGTGCGTCCAGCATGATCGATCTTATCTGTTGATCCGGGGTGTTGGAATAGTTGAATGGCTGAATGGTTAGCGTGTGCGCATTGTATCATAAGGTCTGTCACTGAGTCAGCTGGCATGGTTTCAATTCCCTGGTTGTACATGACAAGAAGTAGGGTCGCCTGTTCAACCTCGTGGGTTTTCTCTGGGTCCTCCGGTTTCCTCCCACTGCTAATTAAAGACCCTACACGCAAGCGAGTTATTGAAATAAAATTGAACCATATGTTAGTCCCAAAATGACCTAGTTTGTGTCGAGTGGGCATTAAACCCCATTTCTCTCTCTCTGTGGATCCTATCTATGATCCAAAGCCTGAAAGCCAACCAATACTGGTGTTTTTGTTTTTTTGTGTTTTTGAAACAACCAACCAACAATTGTCAGACACAGCACAGAGACATGTGTCTGTGTACAAACAATTTGCAGGCAACGATTCAGGGACTGCCACTGCTGATTATGTGACTAGTTAAAATGACATATCCATAGAGACAAAAATCTAGTTAAGACAATTCAACCAATTTGAAAAATCACATGATGATTTAGCTTGTACTAATTGGTAAAAATAAAAATTGTTCCACAAGAGATTGCTTGCTGTTGTAAACACAACAATTGATGTACAATTCTATCTGCAAAATTATACTGATTATGTTTTATTGAAACATACATGTCACTCCAAAGCTATGTATTTAAATTTAATCTAGACAGAAACTGCCCCAAAGTGCAAAAGAAAACAATGTGTGATTACCTGTATTTACGATATAGTTTATAGACAACGATGGCACCAATAATAATCAGAGTTGCTAGAGAAAATGCTACACCTGTCGCTATCCAATTTCTACCTTGATAACTCACATTTCTACCTGTGTAACTCACATTTTCTGAAATTACAAAATTATACATTTCAAATTAAAAGACTGCAGGAATATTATCAAATTGAGTGACTCATAAAGGTAAAATTCATTCCCACCACATTATGTTGAATATGATTTTTTATAAAATTAATTACATTTGATTTTCTTGAGGAAATTGATAATTTTTCTTTAAGAGTAAAATTCTGTAATCTGTAAACGACTTTAGATGAGATTGTACCGTTAAGTATAGTATTTCTAATCATCATCTCCATCTACAATATTTAATAAACCTTCAATCTTTTAAAGCAGCTGATTGTTATTTGAGGGATTCTTAATATCGTGAAAGTTGAATCCCTAAAGGGTATTGGTCCAAAATTGGTTCCGTTCCGTTCAGTATTTACTCAGATATGATGAAACATTCAGAATCCACTGCAGATGCCAGACCAGTTCCAGCTATTAGGTACAATTATTTGATGGACGTCTATTTAATCAGAGTGAATCCAAGCCAGTAGATTATATATCATTGATATATAATTTAGGTTTTGTTTTCTTAATCAAATTTTAGCCCATGGACCTTATAATGTATTATAAGGTCCATGGTTAGCCTATATAATAAATTTGAGTGCACTTTAGCGTGGATTAAGCCTTTGAAAAAATTAGATATTGTTCAAAAGATGCAGGATCAGGATCAGAGACTTCAAACTTTCAAAAGTAAAAATAAAAAAATACATAATGCTTTAAGAGTTTTGTACAGGTAATATAGACAGGGCAAGTTGTAGAAAGAGAGAGAGAGAGAGATGGGGTTTAACGTCCGCTCGAAACACACTCTGTCATTTTGGGACTAACATATGGTTTAATTTTATTTCAATAATTCGCTTGCGCGTAGGGGTCTTTAGCAGTGGGAGGAAACCGGAGGACCCGGAGAAAATGTAGAAAATGCAGGGCTCAATTTTGGGAGGCCTGAAGTTACAAAATATGAATAACTTTAACTAGGCTTATATTTATTCATATTTAAGGCCAACTATGCTTTACTTCACAATTAGTAATTGATTAATACTTGAAAATAGACACACCTGGCAGCCCTGCCGCCAGATTGAATGGAAATTATTTTAAGATGGTGAGGTGTGGTACTCCTTTCTAGTGCGGGGTCCAATTCGGGGAAATTGGTCAAATGTTGCAAAAACCGGCCTTGTATATAGGTAAATTGACCACTGAGTCTCAAGATAATTTGGTCCATTTTTAACACAGGCGATCAAGACAGATGGCATATGGCCTAGATTGAAACAGGGATGTATGTCAGACATTTTGGGGTTAACAGAGGCCAGAATAGAATTAGGTCATCCAACTTGGAACCTATATATGGTACATAAAGCTTGTGTATATATTAAAACAACAGTAATATATACACAACAATCACTTGATTTTCAAATCTTTAACATGTGTTTGGTTCAAAATGGCCTAAATGATCATAGAAAACACATATAATAACCAGACCCATAGATAGCGGAGGGGGTGGGTGTAGGCAAGAGGGGCACCTTAGTCGTTGGCTTCGTTTTGTTTTCAATAGAAAGGGCGCCCTATAGGGGAACCGATTCTTTCCCCAATGGACAAAGGCACCATTGGGTGGGCCGATTGTTTCCAGGGGAAGCTACCGGGCCTGATAACCTCTAATATATATATATTCATATTTTGTAGAATGACAGACGACTATTAACCTGACAAATTATTTCTTCTGTGTTCTGTAAAATGTCAAGACTGGTCCATTTATAATAAATATGATACCAACAAATAATGGTCATTATTATCTAGGATTCAATATTTTCTAACTAATTTTACGTTTACTTTAGAAATAAGATGTAGGTTATGTCCCTTTATAAGAGACTTTATAGGTTTATCGTCCATCTGCACTGCACCAACTGGGCTAATGAAAGAAATGGGGTTTAAAGTCCACCCGACACATAGGGTCTGTCATTGAGTCAAGTGGCATGGTTTCGATCGCCCTCTTGTAGGGTCGCCTGTCCAACCTTGTGGGTTTTCTCTGGGTCCTCCCGTTTCCTCACACAGCTAAAGACCCCTACACGCAAGCGAACTAATGAAATAAAATTGAACCATGTTAGTCCCAAAATGACCTAGTTTGTGTTGAGTGGGCTTTAAACCTGATTTCTCTCTCTCTCTCTTCTTCCAGGTAGTGATACCTCAAACAAGAAAGGTTTAGAAATGAAATGTGGTTTATCATCCAACTGTTCTGTACCTACCAGGCTAATGAAGACGGACATACAGAATTTGTTCTGACAACTGCATTAAACTCAACTAGTATCTCAATTTCTAACTGCTAAGGGATCTTCGTTGGTGAGCCTGCATGTTGCACACTGAGTCATCATGGCTCCAGGATTCAAAGACCAATAAATATATGAGAGAGAGAGAGAGAGAGAGAGAGAGAGAGAGAGGGGGGGGTTTAAAGTCAACTTGACACAAACTTGGTCATTTCGGGACTAACATGTGGTTAACACATGGACCCGGAGAAAACCCATTAGGTTGGACAACCGACCCTATTCTTGACTCGGTGACAGACCTTATGATCTAAACAACTTGTGTTAAACCATTCGGCCACCCAATTCCATTCTCAATAAATATGACAGAGAGAGAGAGAGAGAGAGAGAGAGAGAGAGAGAGAGAAATGGGGTTTAATGTCCGCTCGACACATACTAGGCCATTTCGGGACTAACACATGGTTCAATTTTATTTCAATAATTCGCTTGCGCGTAGGGGCCTTTAGCAGTGGGAGGAAACCGGGGGACCCGGAGAAAACCCACGAGGTTGGACAGGCGACCCTACTCCTTGTCACGTACAACCAGGGAATCAAAACCCCGCCAGTTGACTCAATGACAGACCGTATGATACAGCGCAGTGCGCACGTGCTAACCATTCGGCCATCCAACCCCCCATATGACAGAGAAATGGGAAGTGATTGACAACTGACTGTTCATTTAAACTAGTCTCCATGTATGGTGTCGTGTTGAAGTATCATCAAGTCTGTCTGGACTAAAATATGGCAGAGAGACTGAATGTGATTGATGTCTGACTGTTCATATAAACCAGTCTCCCCGTCTGGTGTCGTGTTGAAGTATCATCAAGTCCGTCTGGACTAAAATATAACAAACTTGCCGTTAATTAGCGTTTCTTCAACAACCAGATCAATATAACAACAATGACAAACATCCCTTCGTATTAATGGTCGTGAATATTGGAGGGTCAACATCTGGCTCTTGTCTCATTCTTCCACTCCACGTTTTTAATAACATCTTGTCACTTCTCTCTCAATTCATACCCCAGTCATCGTGGACTTTACCCCAATTATTTCCATCGTGCAAATATCTCATTTGAAATTTCTAAAACCGAGATCGTATCAGTTGTGGCAAGTCATTAATTTCTCAACTTCAACAAGATTTTTATTTCTGATAGTCTGAATAAATGTTGTGATTTCTTTTATCCCTAGTGTCTGAGTCACGAACGGAAAAGATTTCTTTTTTTTTTTCCAGGTCATAATTCACAATATATTGACAGATTTTCTAAATCTCAAGAGATCAGATTTATAAATTTCAAAAACACAAAATCATTAAAGGCACAACATGGCAATTCATTGATATATATCTGAAAAGTCACAAAAAGAAATGAAAGTAGGTTAGAATTTAACGTCCTACTGTTCTATCTGGGCTAATGAAGACGGGTATACACCATACAGAGAGAAAGAGAATTGGGTTTAACATCCACTTGATACAAACCAGGTCATTTTGGGACTAACATATGGTTCGATTTTATTTCAATAATTTACTTCCGTGCATAGGTCATTAGCAGTGGGGTCATTACCTGGAGAAAACCCACGAGGTTGGTCAGTTGACTCAATGACAGACCTTATGATATAACACGCACCCGCTAACCATTTGACCATCAACCCCCCCACCCCCCACAACCAGGATTGAACTACCTACGGGTCTCCCACTTAGTGAACCAACACATTACACACTGAACCACAGTTGTTTATGGTATTCAGTTTTATTCTGACGGGCCTGACAAGGACAGCTGTCTAGTCGTTCGGATGGAACGAAAACCGAGATCCCGTGTACACATTGGCGTGCACGTAAAAGATCCCTTGGCAGTTGGAAGTTGATATAAGAGTAGGCCGTAGCGCCGCTGTCCGGGCAAAAATTCCCTCATAACACACTGTGTGGCGTATGCCCATCTTCATTAGCCCAGTTCAGATCAGAACAGTAGGAAGTTAAACCCCATTTCATTTCATTTCATTTATTCTGACATGTTGGGGCTTTAATAATGAAATAGAAGATGATAAATGGGAGATCAACATAAACAAGAAACAGATAAATCTTTTATCTTGTCTCATTATGTATAATGAGAAATTATGAAAACCAGAGAGAGAGAGAGAGAGAGAGAGAGAGACTAGGTCATTATGTGACTAATACATGGTTTCTTCAAATCTCCAGTTATTACAACTCCTCCAACATAATATTAGAGAGGGAGACAGAGAGAGTTTAAGTTCATTTGACACAAACTAGGTCATTACGGGACTAACACATGAATTCGCATCCGTGTAGTGGTGTGAGGAAACCGGAGGACACAAGAAAACCCAGGAGGTTGGAAAAGAAATCCTTCTTCTCGTTACATAAAAGCTTGGGATCGAACCCTTGCCATTTGTCTCAGTGGCAGACCTTATGATCTAAAGCATACACAATAGACCACTCGACCACCCAACCCTGTTATACAAACATATTGTTTTAGCTGTAGACTGACTGTTATATTCAAACACAGAGAACAGAGTATAAACTAACTATTTCATTTGTTCAACCTAAAAAAATCAAAGTGTTATATTTGATTAATGGTTTTAGCTTTATAACTGTTAAAAGAAATAAAAAACAAACTTTTCACCGTTTATCTTGGGAATATAATCAAATAAATATTGATGGATGAATCACAAGTTTCTTGTTTTATTAGATGGTTTAAAGAATAAAATG